TCATGCAAGTTTGCTTCTTCGAAGAAAGTTACGATGTCTGGTTTAAAGACGGCTTAGCTGCTTAGACTTTGTGTTTCAATATATGACATGAAAATGTTGGCAGAGGAAACTGCTGTCTTTGTGCCCATCGCGGTACGGTGGGTTTGGAGGTAGAGCTTTCCATTGAACGGGAAAGAATTTTCTTTGATGATTAATTTAAGCATTTGTCGCATATAATGTTTAGGACTAGGCGGGTTGTAGAAATTTTTGGCGTACGCTCTGCAAACCGATTTCAATATCCTCGTTTTGTGGTACTGACTTGTAAAAAGACTTCTGACGTGGTATCTTGGGTTACTTCCTAGAAAGGCAGGAAAAATACAATATACTCTTCTTTCTGAAAAAAATATAGACAATGTCGGTCCATGTCGGTAGTCGGTTAATAATTTAGCTGGCTAGTCATGATCATGCATAATAAATAGTCACGAGATCTCTTTGTATACAAACACGCGCTTTTGAACGAGAACGTGGTATTCATGTGACGCAAACCTACGCAGTTTATCAGTGACTGATTAAATGAAGAATTTATGAAGTTAAAAACCAATAGCTCTGCACCCAGTCTGTACGTAAAGATGTGCGAAAATGTAGATTTATGTAAGTCAGATCAGATATCGATGCGGTCAGGTGTGTATTTTCGTTTTATATTCTCTCGTAGTCAACGATACGTAAAAAATTGACTATAGTACACTGTCATTTTTGTAAACTTCAGTTGTAAACGTACAAACGACCCTATTAACTGTCGCCTTCGAGGCATTGACTATTGCCACAGTAGTTTCGACAATAATTTGTTTATCAACGGTAATCTTGCTGAAATGCTTAACATATTATGACAAAGTATTGATACCGTTTCAGTAATTACTATTGCGATTGTTGTTTATAAAGATGTGAGTCACAAGCGAAAGAGCTGAGCACGTTGGGTGTTGCGAAAACTAAGACCCTTGAAAACTAAGACCTAAGACGGTCCGTGGGTCATTCGTCCATTTAATTTTCAATTCAAAAATCAAAATTGAAAATCGATGTCAATTTTCGATTTTCCATTTTTGTTCTTCCTGTATAAGGGATAAACATGTTTCATAACTCTTTTTACCGTTTTCCCCTGTAAACAAAAATGAGAAAATAAACACACAGCTCTTATTTGCTACAATCAATATTAATACGGTTATCGAACCATGGATATTTTACCTATTCGCGGGAAAATCTTTTCCGCAGTCATCTGTTAACTACAATGACGTGAATTTAGAAAAAAAATTTAAAATTGAATGTCGCGATCAATTTTCAATTTTTGTTTTTGGACGAAGAATTGATCAATCGATCACGCTCTAAGTGACAAAAGTACCAAGAGGGGAGGACCCAAGTGCAGAAGTGCCCAGGAGGAGTGGGGTTGGGGGGGTGGGGGTAGAAGGGAGACGGGATTGCAATTGTCCGCCATCTTTAATGTCGGATACGTCCTGGGAACTAGCCTTAGGAAAGAAGCGGGAAATACAACTTTGGAGTGCTGTTTCAGCCTAAATATGGACGCCGTAAACGTCGGTTTCGTGAGAGATCTTGTTGTGACGCAGAGAAAAACACATTTACAAGTCAGTTTGTTGCTACAAGAAGCATATCCTGGAAAGAGAGGCTTAAGTTCGCGGTCTGTTAGAAGGTTTTGCCTTAAAAATGGAATTCACGCGCAAAATCGGCTGTCAAACGAAGAGCTGGAACACTACACGAAACAAGTTGTTGCTAGGGTGGGTATTTTTGCTTGAAATTTTTTTTTTTTTTTTCCTGTGGGGAAAAAACTGGTTGAATTAAGAAATTTTTCATAAAGTAACGTCATGAATGGATATTATTCGGAGAAACGTTGTTGGTACCACACGTAAACCGTTCATCACCAACCTTCACAATCTTTTCAAGGCTACCGGTCCATAAAGACACCCTGTTCAAGGCGCTAAATAGTTAACCTGTTTAAGACTCAAGACCCGGATACCACACCCTGTTCAGCGCCGCGTACCCTTCTAGGCCAAATAAGGGACTGCGCCCCTAAGAGTGGAGATGAAATCCTCATTCTATTGAATTCCAAATCAACATTGATCACCATTAGCAGACTGATATATGTCTAATACATTTAAATTTCACCATCATAGTAGGAGTAAAACCTTATCTTGTCTTTAGGCAAAGTCTGGAAGTCTCAGCCAAAATGCAATAACTATGACGTTGCAAATTGATGACACCAAAAGCATACGCTCTCTGTCAACTCCCTCTTAGCCTGTGTGCAGACGTCCCCCCTCCCGCAGAAAAAAAAATTGAATTTTTTTTACTGAGGGAGGGGAGGGGGGGGGGCGTCTGTACACAGGCTACTCTCTCTTAACTAATCAACTTTCAATGGGATGGACACTTTTTAAATTGGCAACTTGGAGATGTCTCCCAAAGGTGTCCATCTCAAAGACAGTTGAAATAAATCATTAAGTTCTTGATGTCTTTTACTCAAGGTTGGACCCACATGGGGTAGAAAAATGGTGAAAGGATATATGGCCAGTTGTGGTATAACAGCTGGTGACAAGCGCATTGGAAAAGCTTTGTCAATTGTCTCTCCTCTGTACCAAGTCCAGAGAAATACCAACACTGCCAGGCAAACCAATCCCTATCCTTACCATGCTGACTATTTTGGTCACAAATTGCACATGGACCAAAATGAAAAACTGGCAATGTATGGATTAACTGAAGTCAGTGCATGTGATGGCTATAGCGGAAAGATTGTGGCTTTTGCAACAATGTCAGTGAAGAACAATGTTTTGATCTATGAGAATGTTTACAGGTACAGTATTCGACAATTCTTTAAAAATTGCTATTATTACTATAGGTGATAATAATATTGCAATTATTGCAGCAGTGTTTCCACTTTAACAACAAGCACTTCCAGATAAGAAGTACCAGCAAGGGTATAAATAGTAAAATAAGAGAAGCAGCCTTAAGTAACAGTGATGAATATATCACGAAAACAAGCATAGATCATATTAAAATTTGATTTATGTTTATTTACTCACCTTTGTATGTGTTATTGATGTTTAAATATTACATCCTATATTTGCTTTTCTCTTTGAAGAACTGCGGTCATTCGGCATGGCATTTGGGATCAACTCAGAGTAGACCATGGAACAGAGTTCTATCTCTCTTTGTATGTACAAGAAAAAATGTCTCCATATAGGACCAATACAAGAAGGGCACCATTTATACAAACAACTTCGAAGCAGGTGTTTGTTTAGTGAACATGTCACCATTATTTAATATGATAATTACCATTAATCATTATTTTTATTATTATCATTTACTATTATTTTTCTCATTTCAAGAATCATCCTGCTGAGAGAAAATGGGTAGAGTTTAACTCCCGTGTCAACTACCCTATTAAACGAGCTCTAAATGCTATGGTGAATGAAGACCTAATAAATATGGATGATGACATGAACAAGTTCTGTGTATCATGGTTTACCTCTAGGGTAGCAGACATTGGAATCAAACAAGTTATTTCCAGCTGGAACAACCATGCTATCCCTGGTAAGAGTTTATTGAGGTGGTGGTGGTTCAGTAAACCCAGCCTATGGAAAATCGATATTTTTATAATTCCAAGTTTTTAACTGTACCAGGAGTTTTAATAACTGCCAAGTTAAATATGACAGGTAACGAGAATTAAGAAGGGGTCTCTTCATTCTCCACATTCTCAGGTAAATTAAATTACTCGATATTCATCTGTTGGGATAATTAACTTTCTGAGTGTGGGAGTGCTACACCAATAACAAAAATTGTAAAAAACTGAATATCTTAACCCTTTAAGCCCCAGTATCCACATACAAATTCTCCAAACTGATCTCCATACATAATCCTTTAAGAATAAGTTGAGAGAATTTAATAAAACATCAAGGCATTTTCTCTTTCGTGTTAATTTTTTATATTCTTACAACCTTATCTCTTGACAATGTATGGACATTGTTAGGAGAAAATTGCTGTTGGTCACTATTGGGACTTAAAGGGTTAATAATTACTGTTTTTATTGTCAAGAGACATCTTTCTTCTTGAACATCAGTGTTTCTATTCTAACAGGGAAGGGAGTTCCAGATAAAAGAATGGAGGAAAATAAGAAGACATTTATCCTTCCATCTATAGACATGCTTCCCACTGGTGAAGAAGCTGTATCTGCCTATGAAAGGGATGGTGGCAATCTTAGATCTCCAGAAGTGTTTGGAACTGATATCCTAGCTGGGAACAAACAGCTCCAGCAATTGCGTTTTGATAACTTTAATGCTGCTTACCCTAGTTTCGAGGTCATTTTCTATTGCCTTGTGAATGGTGATCATCACCCATTTAGAGAGGGCTTAATGAATTTCATTGATCTAACTACAACATATAATCCAAACTAACTGTTAGAACAACCACAATATTTAATGATTTCAATATATCTCTGTTTATTTTCATGAAATTGAATACTTATTACATCTGCAAAGTAGAAATGGTTACATGATTTTCAAAACCATTCATGAAACTCTGTGAAAATATCACTATGTTGTTTCACGGGAATTAGGATGTGAAATAAAATGTTCAAATTTACAACAGTTTCCTGCTTTACCAAATATCAACATGATCAAACAAAATCATCTTAAACATTAAAATTCTTGAATCCACCTATTAAATGGTTCAAAGCTGAAAAAACACAATTAAAAGTCACAAAACTGAAAAGCCAGTATTTTCATTCATGTAGATTATTTCTCTTTCCATCATTAATCACTGGCATTACTTTCATCAGATTTGATCAACTTCCTTACCCCAACTAAAAACTCATCTAAGCCTTTAAACTGAAAGGTAGAGGCATATCCTCTTGGTTCATTGCAATGTGGACACTAGCTTCTTACTAAGTCCATCAGCCCCATCATACCAATGATTAACACATTCCTCACAGCCAATTAAGCTGTTACAACACTTTGCTGCAATTACTGGGGGTTTCATAGGTGTGGAGAGACAGATTTTGCATATGAAGGCATCTCTTAGAAGTTTGACTACCCCGAGTGGCAAGGACAAAGTTTGGTTTACTTTCAATATGTCACTGACCATTGATTTGACTTCATTTATTTGAGAATTTACCATTTGAATATCTCCATGGTTACCACCTCTAGTCTTCTTGGGAGTGAAGTCTTCATCACTGTCATCAGAAATGTCATAACATGAGCTGTAACTTGCTTTTGCCTTTGACTTGGCTGATCTCGTTAAAGGAACATGTGTAGTGACCCTCACAGCATAAATTTTTCTGCTTCCACACTTCCAAAAAGACAAACCTACAAAAAAGCACATAAACAAGTTAATACAATTATGTTGATGACGATGAAGATTGATGACTTCACAAAGTTCAAACATTAGAGTAGATGGACCAATATTTTCCCAGTGCCCTGGGTCTAATATTTCGACTGAACTCGCAGTACAGGACAAAAGTGACATTGCATACAAGATTTTTGAACAATATTCAGCTGTATATTTGTGACAGACTGATTTTCGAAACAATAATAAAATGTTACTGATAATACACCCCACTGATTATGTGTGGATATTCAAGACCTATGGATATTTCAAGACCTATATATGTTATGCGATGGTAAAGACAACAATGCAAATAAATTATGTAATTAGTAACCTTTAGTGCCTTCGTTGTCCATTATCCTCAGACCATTACTAGACACCAACTCTAAAGAGGGATCATTGAAGGCATCTCTTGCCTTTGATAGAATATAGTAGACATTGGCTGTATCTACATTGATGTTAAGGTATGTCTGCCCAAGCTCACTGAAAGATGGGGATCCTTTACCATTCTGGGTCATTTCTGCATGAATAATTTTCACAAGGGCACCACCTTTCCTTTTATTGCCACCAAAGAGTGCAGGCCTTGAAGAGCTTCCGGGAGTGACTCCATATGAGAATACTTGACTAAGCTGTCCAGAGTGCTGTTCTGCGACTTGTGGGGCATATGAAGAGGGGGGTTGCACAAATTCCCCCATAACTTGCAGCGACGTTCCATCCATTAGGTGACCGAGGTTAAACCGACCTGCATCATTTGGCCAAAAGGCCATATCTCCAAATTCTCTTTGAGATATAACGAGTTCGCTTCAACCTAAAACGTAGGATTTTTACATTAAAGAGATGTTCAAAGCTTAAATATTAAGGAATTAGATGGTTCGAGGTTGTGTTTACTTACCTGAAAAGCTCGCGAAAGTCGAGCGACATTTACGTCGCCCGAATTCATTCGAATTCGTAGCTCTTTTCCTTCTCGACTTAAATCGAAACTCTTCAGAGATGCCATACTAAATGGACCGACGTAAAAGTAAAACGAACGAATTCAACAAAGGGAGACCTGAGCATCAACAGAGAGAAGATTCGTCCGAAACACAACCTTGATGAAAAAGACAGGTAAGAAAAGCGCGCGAAAAACCATGGGTGTTGTCAAAGTAATAAGACACAGGGGGGAGCCCAAAGTCCAATATTTATTTTAGTCAAAAATAAAACCTAGTAAATGTACATTATTCTAAAAAAACATAAGCTCAGTCCCTTTCCCTCTTCCCTCCCCACTCCTCCTGGGCACTTCTGCACTTGGGTCCTCCCCTCTTGGTACTTTTGTCACTTAGAGCGTGATCGATTGATCAATTCTTCGTCCAAAAAGAAAAATTGAAAATTGATCGCAACATTCAATTTTTAATATTTTTTCTTAATTCACGTCATAGTAGTTGACAATGACTGCGGAAACGGTTTTCCCGCGAATAGCGAAAATATCTATATTTCGATAACCGTTTTAATATTGATTGTAGCAATGAAGAGCTCTGTGTTTATTTTCTCATTTTTGTTTACAGGGGAAAGTGGTAAAAAAAGTTATGAAACATGTTTATCCCTTATACAGGAAGAACAAAAATGGAAAATCGAAAATTGACATCGATTTTCAATTTTGATTTTTGAATTGAAAATTAAATGGACGAATGACCCACGGACCGGCGGGGGGAGAGTCCTTTTCTCGCGTGGGGTGATTTTCACGCGCTATCGCGTTTGGCTCGCTCTACTATCCCTGAGGAAAAATGGGGGTCTACCCTTAGTCTAGAAAAATCTTTTAAAGACTTTTCCTTCCGATAAGAACCAATGGGGGCGTGGAGATATATTTGCGCGAGTGTTTTTTTGCCCGTAATAAGGTGCCAGTGTTTCATTAGAATCTTTTTGAGATTCGAAGTTGCAGGATAGAACGTCGTTACAAACGGCAAAATCTTTTGTTTTGGGTTTATTATCCATGGTTTATTTTATAAAGCCGCATTGCGCGATTCGAAGCGCAATTCGAGTTCGGCTAGGATTGTTTCCACAAGGTAGTGAGGGTAGCCTTGTTCTGTAAGGCGTGTTAAAAACTCATTCCTCTTTAACTCCAGTTATCGGGAATTATTCCTTAACCGAGTTCGTTCTGAGTAAGTGCAAGGCTATACCATATACGAAGCCCTTTTTAACGATGAGAGGTCAAAATGAGAAGAAATTCGCATATTAAAACGTTTCTGTCGGCTCAAATAATGTGTTTAAATCGAATGAATCGTGGTCCTTTAAAAACTTCAGTGGTCAAGGAAAACAATCTGTTTTGATGACAGTTCGTCAGTGTAAATTTTATTGTTGAGTGGAAAGAGTTCGCGAAATCAATAAAGTTGTTGATTTCGGTCTCATGAAGAGTCCACACTGAGAATATGTCACCAAAAAATTTCTTCCAGCCGGAGAAATGGCTGTAAGGGCTCGCATGTAGTAGTTGTTTCTCAACGTGAGCCATGAAAATGACCGAGAAAGCAGCCGCCATTTTGGTGGCCATTGTAATGCCGTGTACGTAGTGTTTGTCGGTGAATTTGAATTAGTTTTCTGTTAAGATCACCCGCATTAAGTCTCCCAAATATGAAGTAAGGATAGGTAACTTTGACTGATAATGTTCTTCGTAATGGTGACAGACGATGTCGATTCCCTCTTCNGGTCTCATGAAGAGTCCACACTGAGAATATGTCACCAAAAAATTTCTTCCAGCCGGAGAAATGGCTGTAAGGGCTCGCATGTAGTAGTTGTTTCTCAACGTGAGCCATGAAAATGACCGAGAAAGCAGCCGCCATTTTGGTGGCCATTGTAATGCCGTGTACGTAGTGTTTGTCGGTGAATTTGAATTAGTTTTCTGTTAAGATCACCCGCATTAAGTCTCCCAAATATGAAGTAAGGATAGGTAACTTTGACTGATAATGTTCTTCGTAATGGTGACAGACGATGTCGATTCCCTCTTCTTGGGAAATGCTAGTGCATAGAGAACACACGTTTAACGTAGCTTAAATTGCTTCATCTGGAAGAGGCGTGTTTTCGATGATATCACTTTTGTGCGGCAGTGTCCTCGATGTAAGACTCTTGTTTTTGCGCGATTGGCCTGGTAAAAGCGAGTCCACAAAACTAGAAATGCGTTCTTTGGGACCACCGCTACCAGAGACGATTGGTCTGCCGGCGGGAATAGTTTTATGTATTTTGACCAGCATGTAAAGTCATTTGAGCAATGATGCCCGTTTGTGAAAAGAGCGTTTATAGCTGATATCACTTTTGTGGCTGTTTCGGATACAATCGGTTTATCTTAGATTTCCATCCCGTCCTGCTATTAAAGTTTATTTAAACAGTTCTTATCAAGACTCTGCGGCTATCATTGATTGTTAAAGCCTAAATCCCTTCACTTTAACAACAACAAAGGAGTTATACACGGTCAGGGTCGAGTGACAAAAGTTAGTTTACGCAACAGGATGACAGAAAGAAGAGGACGGCAAAAGGCTTGTGTGTGACAAACGTGACAGGGCTATTGATTGCGTGTTTTGTCGTGATCTTCACTTCACATTAACGTTTTCTGGTGTTTTACAGAAAGACCTGTTTAAAGGAAGGTGATGTTTGGCTGAAAGTTTTTTCAAACAAAATTATTGTCACTCTTATCACACAAGGTTTGACGTCTTCTTTCTTCTCCCGTCCTGTTGCGTAAGTTCACTAATTATCATTACACTAAGATATAGTAAGAAATTCGCATTTTATACCTGGTCCGTGTTTTACATATACCCAGTCCACTGTACGTGGTCCGCAGTCCGCAGTCCGCAGTCCACCGTCTATCTTTTATACTGCCCGATCTGAAACGCTTTACCCTGCGTAGAGTAATGCTGCAAGGTTACAACAAAAGCATACTTATCAGTGGAAAAACGTTAACTTTCAGCTTAATTCTTTGAAAACGTGCAGGTGTCGGCTATGATACAGGCAAGCTTTGGCTTCCTGTTGGCGTAACATTTCCGCTAGAGACAGCTTGACGGAGATATGCACACCGAACACTTCCTTCTCGGCCATAATACAGGCAAGCTTTGGATTGCTGTTGGCGTAACATTTCCCCCAGAGACGGCTCGACGAAGACACGGAACGTTCACTACAAGACTACCGCCATCTTCTTTGCAGTCGCGCCACTTCCGCTTTTACTCTCCCCTCCCGTGACAGGTAATTTTAGACGGTTGGCAATTTTTGTTTTTCATAAATAGGAAAATCAAAAAACGGTTTTCATTTTGGATTTCACCAGCATTAGTTCTGTCTCCCGCAGTTTCTTTACACATGAAATTGCTTTGTCAAGTTTGATTTTTAATAAGCTTGAATTTAGGGAACAGGAAATTCAAAATACAATTTTAACTTCGGTACCAACTAAAAATCTCAAAATTGAAGATTATCGTTTAGTTTTCCTTTTCCTTTTAAAAACAAGAAATAAAAACCACCAACTGACCATTTTCAATTTTCAATTTTTGATTTTCAAAACATTGAAAATTGTTTTTCAATTTTATGTTTCTTAGAAACAAAAATTGACAATTGAGATTGTAAATTTGTGATTTTCAATTCTTGAGGAATCAAACATCGAAAATCACGATTGTGAATTTTTGATTTTCAATTTTCAATTTGAATAAAAATCAAATGGACGAAAACCACACGGACCGGATATACCTGCGTACGTACGATTTACAAACAAAGAAATCTATTATCCTTTGTATTAGTTAGCATTGTCGAACGTGCTCAAGAAACTTTTTCAGTTCTAGTCAACGTGTCATCGTGTTAAGATCAAAGTAAGGCTCAACGTCAACGCTGTGAAATCCCTAAAGCGAACACAGAAGTAAGTCTTTTCACTTTCTGCATTATATGTTACGTTTTATAAAGCCTTTTTTGCATCGTATCAGTAATGAAATCCAAAGTTTGTTTTCGTAGTTTTAAGGTAGTTTCTAGTTAATCTAACTATAGTTTTCGCTGTATTTATTTCTTAGTTTTCGAAACCGCTTTGTACATCGTTTTCTTCGTCTACACCGCCTAATCATCGCTTCGCTTCACATCGTTTCTTTTCAACATTGTTAACGTCTCATCGCTTCGGTTCAATAAACTTTGTTTACATCCTTATCGTCGTGATCATCATTATTGTAGCGAAACTTCTTAAAGCGCGTCAAGAATTTTCTGTCTTTACGTGGGATTATTAAAACGATCATCCTGTGAGTAACTTTTCGAGCTCACAGCATCTCCATATGCAAAGCCCTTCTTAACGCTGAGAGGGTAAAATGAGGAGAAATGCGTATTTTGAAACGTTTCTGTCGGCTTCGGGTCTCAAAATGTGTTTGAATGAATCTTGGTCCTTTAAAAACTTCAGTGTCAAGGAAAACAATCTGTTTTGATGACAGCTCGGGTGTAAAATTTTATTGTTGTGCGGAAAGAGCTCGTGAAATGATTAAAGTTGTTGATTTCGGTTTCAGGAAGAGTCCACACTCAGGGGCACCCAATGGATCTGTTCCTCAAAATATCTGTTCTTCAGGCACATTTTTGCTGGCTGGGAGATGTGAAAGAAATAATAGTCCTTGGAAGGAAAGCGTTGCTGGGAAAAAGATAATTCAGGGTGTCAGAGGGGATTTGAAGTCCAGAATAGCTGCTACGGGTTACTTGTATGGGTTACTTACCACTCAAGATCTGAATTGTGCCCTATGAAACTTCCCAGTAAGTCAAGTTGCAGGTTGTAAGGTTGCTGGCTGGGAACTCTTCCATCAGTCTTGCTGGGAGTGAGGAACAGATAATTTTTTTTCCAGCAATCTCCCAAAATGCTTAAAATAGTCTCAGAAAACTTTATTCACGCTTTGTTGTTGCTTTTAGGTCTTTTTCTCAAAATTTCCCGTTGGGTGCCCCTGCACACTGGGAATATGCCTAAATCTCTTACAGCGAAATGGTTTGTAAGGGCTCGAATGTAGTAGTTGTTTATCAAAGTGAGCCATGAAAAATGACCGTTTTGGTGCCCATTGCAAGTGCCGTGTGTCTGTACGTAGTGTCTGCAGTTGAATTTGAATTAGTTTTCTCTTAAGATAGGTCGCATTAAGTCCTCCAAATATGTATGAAGTAGGGATAGGTAAATTTGACTGATAACGCTCTTCGTAATGGCGACAAACGATTTCGATTTCCTCTTCTTGGGGAATGTTAGGGCAGAGGGAACACATGTCCAACGTAGCTCAAATTGCTTCACCTGGAAGTGTGTAGTGTCCTTGATGTAAGACTCTTGTTTTTGCGCGATTGGTCTTTTAAAAGCGAGTGCGAGTGCGATCTGTGGCGGCCACCGCTACCAGAGACGACTGGTCTGCCGACAGGAAGAGTTTTATGTATTTTGTTCATCGTGGAAAACTATGGTATTCCTGGTGATTTTGGCCCAAACTGAGCCTCTTGAAAGTCATTTGTCATTTCATTATAATTGTTATGACTTCTGTGGCTGTTTCGGCCGATACAATCGGTTCATCTTAGATTCCAAAACCGGTCTTGCTATTTAAACAGGTCTTATCAAGACGCTACAGCTACCATTGATTGTTAGAACGTGAACATCACATTGAAGGGGTTATACACGGTTAGGGTCGAGTGACAATATTATTAGACTAAAACATAGACTTGCCCACAAGTCGAGCTCAATTTTTTTTCCCGAGCGCGAAGCGCGAGCGGTAGATTTTTTAAGTTTTCTGCGGCAAGCGAGCGAGAGAGCGAGAACCGGAAATGAGAAGCGAAGGACTTTGAGAAAGTCTCACCAGAACAGCATGTAGTTCGCATTTTATACCAGGTCCGTGTTTTTTATATTCCGTGGTCCGCAGCTCGCAGTTTATACTGCCGATCCGAAACGCTCTACCCTGCGTAGAGTACGCGTGCTAGACGATCCGCTTCTTCTAACAATTTGCAGACATACATTATCAATATTGTGGCTTTAAGAAGAGGATGAAAGCTATTGACTACCTACGTATAATTGTACACTGAAAATATGCCTTACCCCTATAATTTTGGTTGTTTATTCTTAAAGTCATAAAATTGGGGTCGGGAGGTGGACTCTTTGTAGACTTCTTTTCTCGCCATTTTAAAACATCCATCTCCAGTGGAAAGCCAATTTCATGATTTAAAGGATAAACAACAAAATTAAAGACCAATAGTGGTAAGGCATATTTTCAGTGTACAATAGATACGTAGGAAGTCTATGGCTTTGGTCCTCTTTTTAAAGCGAGTCTTCAAATTGTTAGCGGATCGTAGATCAGTACGCGTATGATAGTAGTTTTTGTTTGTCTTACAGATTATAGTCTTCAAACGGTCGTAATTCGACTTTGTAGAAAATTTAGAGATTGTTTTGGTGGGGTCTTAGTTTTCGTAATTACGAAAACTAAGAGGGGTCTTAGTTTTCGAAATTACGAAAACTAAGACCCCTAAATTTACCGTTAAATTTCACCTAAAACTCAGTGGAAAGGATCGAACATGATATAATTTGACAGATCAGACCTATTTCGGTTACAATTTGACTTTATATTCCTACGGATTCGATTTTAGGGGGTCTTAGTTTTCGTAATCTCGAAAACTAAGACGGGTCTTAGGTCTTAGGTCTCGTAACACCCGAGCACGTTCTTTTAAGACCTTTTTTTTAGAATTAAAGTTTTAGACGATTCCACAAAGTGCACATTATTAGATGAGTATTCATAAATCATTATGTTTCCAAGTTCACTGGGAATCAGTCAACCTTGCTTGGTCACAGTCTTTCTCACTAGCTTACCAGCTTAAGTGCTAAAGTTGTCAGTGTTGCAAAAAGTATCTTAACGGTGGCGACGTCCCGAGCTGTTCTAGTCATGTACGGTTCGGAACGGTAAAGATTCGTCACACTATGCAGACGTTCTTTGGGCATCGTCACGCATTCCGCTCACAAAAATCGTGAACAGGAACTCGTGACGAAGCACCTGAAGACCATTAACTTGAACGCGCCGTATTGGACACAGCTGCCTTCTCGGAAACAGACTAGGCAGTGGTAATTGTGGACAAATGGTACAGAAATCTCGTGACAATCCAGTCAAAGCGAGAGAAAGGTAAATTTAACCGGGTTTCGACTCAAAAGGTAATTATAAGCACTCTTTTATCATATGGTATGTCACTATTATTACAGATATTTAGATTGTGTACCATTTAGATTGATTAATCCACCTTAAGAGCAGAAATCGATTAAAATGCAAGAAAAATACGATACACCTACGACCACTGTTTTAGAGCCTACTTGTTACCTAAACTGTATAAAGAGTACCACAACTTTTCCCTCTCACTGCCTTCTCTCCCACTCTCTCTCTTATGTTAGACACCCGCTATTCAGCCAAAAAACTGCAGGCGTGACGAGCCAGCACGACTGATCTGATTAATGAGTCACGCAAACACAACAAGTCACCTTCGCATGTCCGATTCTGGTTGCCCACACCCTATCCAAACGTGTTCTGACGAAAGTCAAACGTCATTACTAAAACCTGTCATTAAGGTAGGCAGTTGAGGCATAGAAAATTGTCAGCAATACAACGTGTTACGTTGAAATATTGTTATGTCTACTGCACCATATTGGAGAAAACTGCACGGGAAAATGCCCCAGTTTGAATTGAGAATGTCTTTCCTTATGCATTCATCTAAAAAAGACGAAACTGAAAACCTCTTCTTCCTCTCCCCAACTCTCCCGTTATTTATTGCTAGTTAATGAAAGGCCACTGTCAGGGTGACCCTGAAGAGACGCAAACAGCATTGAATTAGGAGGGGGAGGGGTCACATACTGTGTCGTCTCGGGGGAAAGGTGGGCAATTTTCTCAACAATTCAGAAATATGGGAAGTAATTACGTAGCCACGATTTTCTTGTTGTCCTCATGCCTGAAAGCCAATTGTTTTGGATTCTTTTATACTCTCTTAGATGCCATCAAGTAACACTCTTCCACCATGGAGAAAGTATTTAACGGTGGAACCTGTAGTTTTTTTCTACTTCTTCGGCTTTCTAATGTATATACCAGTTGCTGGAATATACGTGTACGAACGAGTCAGTGAAATGAAGGGCTTCCCGTATAAAAATGTCATTCGAGAAGAAGAAAGTTGTGGAGGTGAAAAATTAAACAGAAACTCGTCATTATGGCGTCTTGAAGAAGAGGTGAGGCGAACGTTTTAGCTATAGGCACAGTTTCACAGAATTAGACATGAGACAAACACTAGACATTTTACCGCTGCAGTTCTATGTACGCCGCGCAAGTGCATGTGTGGTTCGGTGCGATATCTTGAGAAATATATTTCGTACCATACCAACAGACAAATCTCAAATGCTCTCTCACCTGGCCAAGCGTGCAGTTCAAGAAACGGCTTCATGCATAGGAGTAATCCTCAATTATGTATTTGAATCCAAGTAAGATGATGTTCTAAGTAGCTCAAATGTTTTAATGTTCCACATTTTCAGGTTCAAAGTCTTACCTCTGAAATCGGATTAATCTACAACCTTTGTCTTGTGATCCCTTCTCTTCTTTTGACTCCCATATGGGGACCCTGGACAGATAGGGGAGGCAAGCGAAAACCCGCCCTGCAGTTTGCTATCTTAGGCGCATGCTTAGAGGTGATAGTCACACTACTGGTGATGTACTTCAAATGGTCTGTATATGTCTTATATTTATCCGCGACAATCAGTGGGTTCTCTGGTTTTACTACAGTTTTGATGGTGGGAGCCACGGCGTACATAGCTGATATTTCTGAGAAAGAAGAAAGAGCTTTTCGAATAGGTGAGAAGCCTACTGTAACATCGTCAGTAGCTGAGAGTAAACTTAAATAAACACTATTTCATAGAATTTTTAATCAACCATGATTTGATGTGATGAAGGTCTTTAAATCTCGATTTCATTTTGATTATAATATTCGTATCCTCCACTATCACACCATCACAGTATGTCTACTTTTTGCGCATTTAGACGTTATAAGATGGGTCTGACAGCAGCTGTCGAGAGACTTGCAGAATCTTCTTAAAAATTAATTTTGTATTTTTTCCCTTATTTACAGCTATGTTATATCTGGCAATTTTCTTAGCTGGAGTCATCAGTTTATTGACCAGCGGGTTCTGGATGGAATATGTAGGTTTCATCCCATCTGTCTGGTTCATATGGTCCTGCTATTTTCTCGCTGGGGTCTGGACACTATTCTGCGTGCCAGAAATTCCAAAGCCAGTAACAGACACGTCAGCTAGCTTTTTCAGCACTGAAAATATCAAGGGTTTTGTCAATTTGTTCCGATTGCAAAGAGAAGCTGAAAGAAAGAATCTCTTTCTGCTGATGTTTTGTGGAGGGGTCATATACTTGTCCAGAGTGGGTAGCAGTGGCGTAGAGACGCTTTATGTACTAAGAAGTCCTCTCTGTTGGCGCCCCACGTTGGTGGGTTATTGCGCCGCTTTTGAAATGTTTGTGGAAGGTATTGGAAGCGTAGTCGGGGTAGAGATCTTTAGACGTTGTTTTCGGGAGATGAATGTTGTGCGTATCGGTATAGTGACGTTTATGAGTGCATCGGTTCTACTTGCTTTTTCAGATCGTACTTGGATGATTTTTGTTGGTAAGTAAATAGGACGAATAAAATCGTATTCGGGATCTAACATTTTTTTAAAAGGTCTTTTTTATCCAAACAACCTTTCTCCCGGCCCGTCCCGGGGTATCTCTGCTATTAACGTTCCCAGTCCTCTCTTTGGCTTACACTAAGAGGTCTGGGAACGAGATTAGGCCCTCCCCTTCAATGAACTTTATTTCAACACAGAATTCTAACAGATGATCGCTGATTTGCATTGAAGCTGTGTTACAAACTGAAAAAAAAAAAATAGGACAAAAATGAATTACAATGTAAAATGATGAAAACATCATATACGTAAGACAAACTTAAAGCAAAGGGCAGACATACACCGACCCACGGCCTGGCCAGTACCTCACGTATCCCATCTAACAGCTCCCACATGTATTGTGTAGAGTTGGCGCTTAAAATAGTGCTTTGCCCTCGCCTCGGCAGAAAAGGGTCTTTGAGACACGGGTTGACCCGACGGCTATGCTATGCTGATGAGCCCCAATAAGGGCGAAACAGCTGTCCATGGCTGCCACTGCCCGGGTGATATGGCTGTGCGCATGTTAGAGGTACTGGCCAGGCCATGGATTGGTGTATGTGTGCCCCTTTCGTTTATAACCCCCCCCCCACTTATACAACCAGTTATAGGCCCCCCTCTCGTACCGTGTATTGAAATGAATTCGACTTTTTACGACGTTTTTGAGCTTAAAAAAGCAATCAAATTCAAAAAGTCTTTTGATCAGCACTTTTATGTAGCTTGTTTTGAAACCACTTTTTTCAGTTCGGTTATCAAGCCCCTCCCCCGTTTATAAGCCCTCCTTAAACCTCTTAGGAAGTTGTATAAGTCCAGGGATTATAATCGGAAGTTTACGGCATAATACAAGATAGCGTAAATGGGAATAAGGGAAATAATTAAGCAGACGACCTTGAGCGGGCTAGGCCATAGCAACGCCCCGCGCACTCACGTAATCACACGATCGACTAACACTAAAAAGTAAGTAGGGGCTATTTGACTGTAGATCTAGGTCAAACAAAGCTTCCTGAAAAGACAAAGTAATAAAATTAATTTAAATTATTTCAGTAATTCAGTTGGGACTGTTGGCATCTTCAATGCACTTCCTAACCCAGTGCTAATGGGTGAAATGTCAAAGATTGTGGGAGAGGACGAACAAGGTAATTAACTAACTAGTTTCTCAGTAGACATGTCATTAAGTTCCTAAAGAAACTTAGTCGTTTGAATCAAAGGTCTATATACCAGCTTGTTTACCATATACGCGACTTCAGATTGCTCAATTTCCTTCTAAAAAAAGTTCATTGCCAAACGTAACGGTCTTTGCTTGCCCATTTAAACGGAGAAGTTCGCCCAATTCGAGAGCGAGGACGACTGCGAGGACCCGGAACCCGGAAAGCTTTATTGTACTTATTTATCACCAGAAAGTTTAGCACAGTTATTCTTATTGAAGGAGTTTAAGCTTTCTTTCAATCACAAAGTGCTAAAACTTGTGTTAATCATTCTTCTCGTAGAATGCCAAATGACGCTATTCACGAGTGCGAGAAAAGTCGTCCTCGACTTGAAGGTCTCCGCTGTTAGCGCTAAAAGTCAAAACTCTCTTTAAAATTGACATCGCTGGGACTACCACTATGTGTCCGACTGAGAGAGTTATCCTCCTTATATAGCGTTAAAGAAAATGGCTGAATAACAGCAGGAAACAGGTCTAGGTGTGTGTTTTAGAGAGGTCTCATCGTTATAGAGGATCGAAAGCGCCGACGTCATTGTGTATTTTCTATCCTATAGGTTCCCTGTTTTCTGTGTATGGTGTTGTTACCGCTATAATGCAGCTTGTGGGTGCTGCGATTTTCAACAATGTATACCAGGCGACCCTGGGGCTGACATTCCCGGGCTTAGTGTTCGTAATCCGCGCCGGGTTGGTTATCATTCCTTTTGTATTTGTCAGGTAAGCATCGCGGTTGATGATTCTAGTTCAGCACTTACAAAAAAACAGCAACCGAGCAACGACGACGACAACAAGAACAACTAAGGACCAAACTCCTATTACTTAAAACTGACGAAGGATAAACGGAAAATCGAAAAGTGACAACGGATAGGCTTGCAATACTATGTACTGATGACGGACTCAAAACAGATGATGGCATGTTCATGGAGGTTGCATTTAGCACAGGAATCACACCTCGTGTTTTGTCAGTATTTTACTCGGCTTGGAGTTCGTTATGACCCAAAAAAAAGGAAAAGCAACAAATGCATAATATATGTCTTGAAATGCTGCTTACGTGGCTCATTCTAGTAAAGAATGTGTGGTAAATAGAAAAACACCTTTACGGTGATTTTCAAGGTTTTCTTGGTACTTAGGACATGATTTCTTTCAAACTGGACAGCAAAACCACGACTATGAATAAACCAGTGAAACTCTGAGGAATCACTAAAAAAATAAAATAAAGAAATAAATAACATAAAATTGAAGAACCAGCAGCAAGCTGATCATTGCGGGGAACAATTAACAGAAGAAAAGCAAGACAAATAATATTTGAAATTTTTTTTTTTGTTTTGTTTTACGTTTGTTTTGTTTTGTCCCTCTTCTCTTTGCCATAAGGATAAATTTGCTGCTGTCTTGTGGACTGATTTTCTTTTATCTTTCCTTCAACAGCTTTATAGAACTGCCACGTGTTAACGACCAGGCGGAAGAAACCCAAGCTTTGCTAGGGAATCAAGGGAAAGTTCCTACAACGTGCTAAATAGTACACTGAATACTGATCCTCGTTGGGTTTCAAGTACAGATGACTTTTGACGTTTTTCCTAATAAGGGAAACATGTTAGGCACACCTAACAATATTGCATCGAAAGCTACTCTTGTTGCCCTAAGGACTCTCCACCTCGCAGGAGTTCTCCACAATTCCTTTTGTCCTTACTTTTCCCTTCTCACGGACGCAGAAGTGACTTATTTTGTGAAGTACAAGGAACAGATATCACAGTAATCATACCGCTGAAAGCTTTCACTTACTACCGGGCGCGCCAGCTTAATACTAGTTAGTCTTCAACATATCGAACGGTGACAAGTGTATTCAATGACCTTTTCTAAAATGTATTTACAGGTATGTCTTTAGTTTATACGGGCTCCTGTCTATTTGTGTCTTTGCTTGCTTTAAACAGAAAATCCTTTCGGTAACCTCAGAAAAAGGATAAGCGTTTTCGTTGGTAGACCAAATAATCCCGTAAAAAAGGCGCCAAACTTTCTCCTCTCTCCAACATGCCTCTCAAAAATGTCCCCACAAGTTATACGAAAGTACAATTAATGGAAGCAGGAACCCATATGGGCTTCGAGTACAATTGACTCCCGATAACTCGAACCCTCACTAACTCGAACCAAAATCGATTTCCCCTGGAATTCCGTCATACATTTAGTGTAACTTTACCCTCGGTAACTCGAACCCTCGTTAACTCGAACCTCCCGCTAACTTAGCGAAACCATAGTTATTAGAGGAGACTGGTTATGAAAAGCGGCAAACATCAAGGATAAAAACAACAGTGCTGCAGTTTATGTTGGAAGTACGCTGAAAGTGCACAATCCTTTGTTTTCTGTTGGCAAATTGTTACGGAATAAATTAATGCAACGTTTTTATTGGTCAATACAATCAAAATGATAGGAATTCTTTTGAACGTTGTGCACTTTCAGGTCCACAAAAACATATAACAAAGGAGACTGACGAGTTTCATAACCATTCCACTCAATTAACTATGGCGAAACGTTCCCAGCGGCGAAGACCGAGGAGAAACGAATGTTTTCGCAGGCTACCGCTAACTCGAAGTAGTTTTTGTTTCCCCTCAGATCATTTCTATATAATTTACTCTCGATAACTCGAACTATGTTTTGAGCCCTTAAAACGTCAGGAAAAAAACATTGTACTGGCGTCCGAAACATTGAACTTTATATTTCCCTTTGACGTGTGGTAGGCTTGTAGTTTACTAGTGGAGGCTGATGTTGTTTGTCACAAAACTAACGTGTCAGGTTTAGAGTCTGGAAACAGTAAAACGCATACTTTATTTAGGCTATGTGTTTTTACGTTTTGTTCCGATTTATAATCAAGAAGTATCTCTAAATTTTCACTTGACATTTCTTCAATTAAATGCGATTAAAATGTTCACTGTGCAACAAAAACTGTTCTTTTCCTTACTTACGGCCAGTTTCTTCGAGCTCCCTATAACTCGAACTCCCGATAACTCGAATTGTTTTCGATTTCCCTTGAAGGTTCGAGTTATCGGGAGTCGACTGTAGTTCCCCTTTTTGAGCTGGTCGGGTAGATCATCAGATCATCAGATTCTTATAAAAGAGAAAAGAACTTTATTAAAAATTTGCTGCATCACTCATTATTAAAAGACAGTTGTTTTAAATGCATTTCTAGCTAATATAAACACCTTAGTTTTCAATTTTCTCAGCGGAATATTGCCCCACCCCTTAACTTAAAAATTGTCAGCCTTACGGGTTCGGATAAGCCGCCATCACACACTTAATATTGCCCCGTTTTCCCTCTTGAAGGCAGGTTTTTCCGCCTAGATAAGCGATTTCAAGTTTCTTGCAAACCTACAACCTTGGACTGAATAAAATGGAACAGCAAATCCCCATTCCTCTAAATCGAGAAGGAAACCGCGCGAAGGACAAAACGCGTCATGGCCTTTAGAACAATAGAGAATATACTTTATTAGAATTACTGGGTTGTCCTTTATTTTGGAGATATACTTGAAAAATTCCTTGTTACTTTGTTTCGAATATGCGAAGAAAACTGAAGGAGCTTCAAGGCCGAGATTAAGACCACGAGTAGTACTAGGAGTGCGAAAATCGTCTCCCGCGAGGAAAGTGACGTCGCGTCAACTTCTTCTCACGCGTACTTGTGTAATTCACTAGCTTTACAATCTTTGAAAAAAAAAAAAAAACGACGAAGTAGGCGGATACGCGAAGTCTATTGCGAACCTGCAACTGAACCTTGGACAGAATAAAATGGAACAGTAACCCTTTCACCCCCACCCCGCGAAAATCAAGGAGATGAAGCTCAGCGAGGGCTAAAATGCACCATTTCCCTCTCTTTGCCCCGACCAAGGTATGCTCCTAAGATTACAAAATAAACCAAATTGCGTGACACAGAGCTGTGTAAACTGCTGTTTGTAATCCAATATTTTCTTATATCATTTACCGATATTATTTACCGGTAGTCAACAAGTAAATAAGATCATCGACACTAACCATCATTGCAGTATATCAAGGTAGGCTTTTGCATTGCTTCGTTAGCGTTGTGAAAGATATAGGCAGTAGCCTTAGTTATTTGGCACGTGATGTTAGTAGATCTAGGTGATCAGTGCCAGGAGCCGATTACCCCGCTCCTGTCAGCACTGACACTGGCATCATTTCGGGTCGTTTACGGAGGTGGCAAGCAACGTCGTCCGCAGCGAAAGTGTTGGACAAGTTAATTTAAGGATCAGCAGATAAGGCAGGGTAACTTGGCGCAATAAAGAATGACTATGTAATTTTGTATCGTAGGGTTTTCCGAACGGTTGCCCGCACCTCCGTCAGCACAACTACTTTTGCCCCCAGCACTGAGTCACTGTGATCGTGTTTTGCATGCATTCAGCGACCTGTTCCGCCTATTAATCCGAAATCATTCCGGCACAATTTTCAAAGAATGGTGTTGTCATGTTTAACTGTAAATTTCGAACATTGAATCAAATTCCATGTCATGTAGACTTATTTTCTTCAATGTCATTGGGCCTATTTTTGTTAACCGTGTTTTCTTTGCTAACATGCTCATCAGCTCATCAACTCCACATTACCCTTCTGCTTCGGAACGTGTCCAACTAGTAGCAGTAGTAATTAAAATAATTGATTGGTGGATATATATAGCTGATAACCAATTGAAGGCAATTCAATTTCACCGATTTTGGGACTTCACCACTGTTGTTTCCAGGGACCGCGGAGCAAGGTGAAAAGTGGGAGGGCTGACAATTAAAATTATTTTTTTCTAATAACCGACCAACATACACTGTCACTTCAGATTCAATGCAAGAAAAGACGCGATTAGAATTTTAGTATAGAAAATACTACACCGAAGTGATCTGAAAAATTTCTAACTATGACCGTTCACTGTTCAAGTAATGTAATTCTTCTTGCCATCGAACATTTCATTGATTCGAAAGGAGAAAGACAAAATATAAAACTTTTATCGACTCAAAACAACTACTCACCTTCGTTTGGCTTCAAAAAGCTAGTAATTTTCTTCATTTCGTGTGATAAAACTGATAAAAACTCTGCCGAAGCTGGAAGTACAAAACACGCTGCCGAACGAAGCGAAGGGGTGGCCAAGGCATGGCGTTTGATCAAGGGGCAAGTCGGCCCCAGGGCACAATTACCGCGAAAAGCACAGGAGACCCACAAAATGCCTGGCGTTTGAAATTAAAGAAAATACAGAGAATATAGCGGAATATGGACGGAAAAAAACTTGTTTCGTCTTTTTTTTATTTTAATTATTTTTCTTTTTAGCACAAAAAGTGGGGGCGGGGGCGCAAAAAAGTGGTGGGGCCGCGGCCCTACCAGCCCCTCCCCCTCCGCGGTCCCTGGTTTCACCGACCTTTGCGCTTGCAAAAAGAACGCCTATTTATTGGAGTGATTTCTTTCCTCCCCTCTACATTTGGGATCCCGGTGAATCATCTTATAATCGGAATTCAGTTTGCCAACCGAGTTGACTGACGGCGTCAAACTGCAGTTAAAACATTTGTGTCCATTTCCAAATAAAAAAGATATTTCTTTTATATTATATTTTATATATTCGTAGATGCCGGAAACTAAGACAGGAATTCCCTTGTGGAGAAAATACTTAACAGTGGAACCCGTAGTATTTTTCTACTTCTACGGCTTTCTAATGTATCTTCCAGTCTCCGGAATATACATATATCACCGAGTTAGCGATATGAAAGGGTTTCCCTACCAAAACTTCAGCCAGCAGAATGGTGGGTGCGGCGATCACGAGGATTTAGCAACTAATGAATTGTGGAAACTTGAACTGGAGGTAAGTTAAGTGAAAAATGGGAAATGATTAAATTCCACCGTGCGCAACTTGTTTTTTCTTTTTGCTGCATGAGAGACATATTTCACTTACAGTGAATCGAAAACAGGAAGGACCTAAATTCCCTCGTTAAAGGGGCTGTGATCTAAATAAACTGCTCTAACGAAGATATTTGACCGAATTCAGCAACTAAAGGAAGCACACACTACCAGCTCCACGGTATAAACAGAACATTACGCATGCGCACGGCCATTTCACCTAAGCGGATGCGGCGGCGATGGACAGCTGTTTCGTCCTCATCACATCCAGGAGCCCATAAAGGACTCATCAGCATGCATAGCCCCAGTGTGCGCTGTCTTGCTGAATTTGGTCTTGAAGACATTTACCTTCACAAATTCAGTACGAAGCAATCCTGAAGTCCGCGTTTTCCAATTTTAAAAAAGCATGCGCTGCAAAATATCAAACTTCGAAAATTTAAACGACATGAAAGCTTCGGTCAAGTCGCGGTTTGAAGGGCTTCTCTTGTTAGCTCCGTTCTTGATGAATGAGAACTTGCTGTCCGCAGTTTCGATGTACTAGTCTTTGAATGGAGATACGAATTAGCGGAATTATGTTTCAATGACTAACTTAAAAGATCTTTGTTTGTTATTCTAGGTCCAAACGCTTTCCTCGAAAATTTATTTGGCCCAAAATCTTGTTGTGACGATCCCCTCCCTTCTTGTGGTGCCCCTGTGGGGACCCTGGACAGACAAAGGTGGCAAGCGAAAACCTGCCTTGCAGGTAGGCATCTTAGGCGCATGTCTGGACCTCACAGTTCTTTTACTCGTGATGTACCTCAATTTGTCTGTGTACTTTCTCTTCCTGGGCGCGGCTATAAGTGGCTTCTCGGGATTCGCATCGGTAATAATGACTGGTGCAACGTCTTACATCGCTGATGTTTCTAGCGAAGAAGAGAGAACTTTTCGAATAGGTAAGGGTAATTTGAGAGCGATATATGTCTAGCCGGATTTTTGATAACGTCATCGCCAAATAGACCTTTTGCATCAAACGGTTTTTTCGGCCAAAGACAATCTTCAAAGTAGCTATCGTAAAAACTAATAGTGCAACCATCCTTTCTTTTCTTCTCTTCCTTTCCTTCTCCTCGCTCTTTCCTTTTCTCCTTTCCTTTTCCTTCGTTACCATGATTTTGGAGCTTCTCGGGCTTACGAAACGTGCCTTTTGACGCATTTTTCCTCAAATGACTGCAAATTTCGTAAGGTTGGTTTTCAAAAAACCGACTAGATGTATAATTATTTTGTTTGTCCTTTCATAAGGCTCAAATACTGCAAGACAGGAAACTAAAACAACAAGAGCTGTTCGGGAATGGGAACTTGAAAGGAAAGGGATGATAAAGGGTTAGTCCCTGGTATAGGGCATTTTTAGGTGGCAGTAACAAATAAATAAATGAAAAAAAGGAGAGGAAACGAGAAGAACATGACATAACGCAGTGATAACGTGTTTAAACACACTCAAAACTCGAAAATGATCTGCCGTGGTTACTTTGCGCGGTATTTGAAATCACGTCGGCGTTTAGAGATTTCTCAAAAAGGGAGAAGAAAGCGTATTGGAGCAATTAAGGCTCATTCTCTATTGTTCTGAAATAAAAACTTCCTCGACAGATTTGTTCTCTTTCAATGTGCAGTGTATGAATATATATATCTGCCGGTTTGTAGCTTCCTCGTTTGTAGAGTTATATCAAACGCTAAGGTGTCTTCCTTTCGAAATTGCAGCCGTTCTTTATATGCAGATTTTCCTGGCTGGAGTCATCAGTCAATTGACCAGCGGTCTATGGATAGACAATGTCGGTTTCATCCCGTCAGCCTGGTTTATCTTGGCCTGCTTCCTTCTCGCTGGGACCTGGACCCTGTTTTGCGTCCCTGAAAAGAGCAGAACCTCCGACAACACCCCGGTGCGCTTCTTCAGCACTGAAAATATCAAGAGCTTCTTCAACTTTTTTCGGAAACAAAGAGAGGCTGGACGAAAGAATCTGTTGCTGTCGATGCTCAGTTCTGGCTTGTTCTTTTTGGTAACAGTTGGAGTAGACGGGGTTATAACTTTGTACATATTGAAGAGTCCCCTATGTTGGAATGCAACCTTAATTGGGTATTTCTTTGCGTTTGCTTTATTTCTTCGTGGTTTTGGAAGCGTGGCTGGAGTGAAGTTCTTCGGGCGTTGTTTTAGGGAGTTGACAGTTGCACGATTTGGCATGGTTTCTTTGGCGTTGTCTATGATCATGCTGGCCTTTTCAAATCGGACCTGGTTAGTTTTTGTTGGTGAGTAAGAAATTCTCTTCCATGGTATAAAATAAATAAATAAATAAATAAATAAATAAATAAATAAATAAATAAATAAATAAATAATCAATCAATCAATCAATCAATCAATCAATCAATAACGATTTAGGTGTAGCACGTTCACATAGTGGTTCTTCGTCTACCGCTACTACTCCTGGTCGAATTGGAAATTGGAAATGTTGGGTTTTTGACAGAGGAGAAAACCGGAGAACCAGAAAAAAATTTTTCGAAGCAATGGTGAGAACCAACAACAAACTCAACCTCCATAGGGCATCGACGCCGGGATTTGAACCCGGTCCACAATGATGGGAGACTCGAGTGCTCTTACCACTACGCCGTCCCTTGCTGTCATTAGGAACTTTAAGGTCCAACGACGCGACGGCAACAAGTCGTCGCTTAAAAAGTGAATTTGCGTTCTTTCAGTCTTTATAGCGATTATTCCTAACCACTTACTTTGTAAACTGTAGGCGAACTCTCCTAAAGCTGAATTTTAAGGGACCATATTTAAGCTCAGAAAGAGAAATAAAAGTTCGTCGTTGCTTGTTTACGTTCTCCATAAAATGCGAAATTAGGCATTTTCACGTCTTAGTCATGTGCAAAAACGGGAGAGAAATGTACAAAAAAGTGTAATGCACGATGCAAAGTGGTTGTTTTGCTCATTACCCCATTGTTTTTATGATGTTCTCGTTGCCGTCCGTGTCATTGAATCTTAAAGTCCCTATTGTGTATTCACAGACTTTTGTATTCTTTTTTTTTTTCAAGCAAGTGCAATAGGAGTCTTTGGTGCTGTTCCGGATCCTATTTTAGGGGGTGGCATGTCAAGAATAGTTGGAGACAGTGAACAAGGTAATGAATTTATTATCCCGTGAACAGACTTATCTTAATCACTAGCAGGGTATAGGGCAAGGTCAGTACGTTTCGAGAGGCCACAGTTTTATATTTATTAGCTTTTAGCTATTTATTGTTACAGTGACCATATAAAGTATATTTACTTACTTACTACTTGTACTTACTTACTAACCAAATAGGCTTACTTACTTTCAGTTGTTACTTACAACAACAACAACAACAACAACAACAACAACAACAACAACGCCAAGTTTGGTTTGTCACGGTATTGGGTTTTCTATGGAAGTTTATTTGCAGTTGCCTGCAGTACCTATATCTAACTACTAAATAACTTACGTACTTACTTACTTACTTACTTATAGGCCATAGAAATGACGTCAAAATGTCCCGAAACTCTAGTGGTTTCACTGCAAAGTTTTAAACATTTTCACCTCATTCCGTTGGTCTGTTAGTCTGTAAGAGTAAAGAACATCTCTCGTGGAAAATTGTTGTTTAGTTATTTTTCAGAACATTTAGGGTTTTTATGCGCCATAACCGGTGAAGTTTCTTTCGATTTCGTGCCCGAGAGACAGAGAAAAACAAATCGCGCCATGATCATTTCAATTCCCTACAGGTTATCAGTGTTTTAGAACTCATCATGATCCCCTTCCTAGCGATGCAAACGTTCCTAAGCAAATGTAGTTGTTCGTTTCCTATCTCTGTCTAAAAACCCTTTTAAAAAAAGAGTGTCCCCTGAGTGTTAAGTTCACTGCTTCTTCATTCCCCCCTTTAGGTGTCTTGTTTTCTGCTCATGGCGTTGTTAGTGCTATTACCCAACTGGTGGGCGCCTTGTTGTTCAATTCTGTGTACCAGGCGACTCTCAGTTTTTTCCCAGGGTTGGTTTTTATACTTTGCGCGTTGCTGGTGTTAATTCCTTTGCTGCTTCTGAGGTAATATATAGTTTTAAGACTTCGTTTTTTCTGTTGTTCCTTAGGCACTGTGCACTATTTTTCGCTTCTTTAGGTGGATGTCAGTACTAATTCGAAAGGATAGTTAGCTGACAGTTCCTTTTTTGTACTTTTGACAGTTTCATAGAGTTACCGCCCATTAAAATCAACGACCTGATGGCTGGAGAGAACTACGATTTGAAGGGAAGAAATGTTCAGAAAGAAATCGCCAATGAAAATGATATAAAGGCAAACCAGGTTGCCAACACGGTCTTGTAATACGAAGCAGTAACTAGGGTCTGCTAGGGTAAAATAAATATTGTATAAAAATTTATATAGTGCCGCGAGGAATTTAAACTCAGGCCAGCTCTAGATCGGTTGAAGGCATTAAAACCAATCAAAAAACAAGCTAACAAAATAACCAAAATAATAGAGAAAAAAAAAAGATACATGAGAATATAATTACATGATTTTGGTATTAGTTGTTTTTTTTCTTACAGTCTAGTGGAGTCCCCATGCGATGCGGCTCTGCTAAAACTGGAATCTACTTTCGCGTGGTAATGTCACCGTCAACAGCGAGGTAGCGGTTTCGCTCGGTCAAGGAGACAAGCGCGCCTGGGAACTAAGCTGGGCTTTCAGCAAGTCAGCGTGCATTTACAGACTAAATTAAACAGTCTTCCAAATTCACTTGACATCCTTCTAGTAATCACTGTTTATGAACTTAATTAAACTCTTTAAATTCAAGTATGGTGCTTATTCATGAGAGACGCTTTTAATTAGATTAAATAACGACAGGCGCGGATGTAGGAAAAATACTGACCGATTTGCTAAACTAAAGCCGAAGGTGCAAGCTTCTTCGGTGGGGGGGGGGGGGGGGGGGGGGGGGGGGGGGCGGCCCCGGGAGCCTTTGCGGTTAGACACCCCCCGCACTCCCTTTCCCCGGGCTCTTAGGAATGACACAGGGGAATGGGTCCCACCCCTTTGTCAGAACATTGAGCACGGAAAGCACAAAGACAGGACAATGTATACATTTTTTTTATACTATGAAAAGTATGTTAGTGTGTTGTAAGGGTAGATGTGGAGTGGAGAGAGATGAAAGAAAGAAAGAAAAGAAGGGGGGGGGGTGGGGGAAAAAGGAAGGGGGGGGGCGGGGAGGGGAGGGGGGGGGGGGGGGGGGGGGGGGGGGGGGGGGGGGGGGGGGGGGGGGGGGGGGGGGGGATGCGCCACCGGGACATTTTTGGATTTTAACTCCCTGGATTCCCCTTTCCCGGGTTTCTAAGTCATTCAGACAGGATATTGGCCAGTTCCATTCTTCAGAAGATTGTCAAGGAAAAACTGAAGGATGAGCCATCCACCCTCCCACGCAGACATTCTATGTGGATTATCGCCTCGTGAGAAAGAAGAAAAGGAGCTCTGCGTAGGAGGCTAAAGTAGCCTAGGCATTTTTCGCCGCACTCGCAGTTCAAATGAATCAAGGCAAAGAGGTGAACCGGGATGACCCCGTGGGATGGCATTCCGGGCCAAGTTAAGTAGGGTTGAATTTTGCATGAATTGCCATAAGAATAAATTTTTACTAAAACCCTTTCTGACTTGTCGCAAAACAACGGTTTACCGTTCAGCACTTGTCAGCTGTTTGTCTTCTTTTTTGTCGCAACACTGTAAAATGACTCAATGCTCGATGTCAAGAATGCATGGGGCACACAGTGAGAAAGCTGGCCAATCCGGGAGAGTTAGTCACGTGGCAACGGGCTATTACGCAAATGTTGCTAGTCAATATCAACAAACAACAGTGCAACGTACGGAGGTCGACATTGAGTGAAAGTGTTGACAGGCCTTTGGCCTCAAAATATAAAAGGACAGCTACAGCGGCGAATTTGACGACTGGCCGGGAGGATCCATTCAAAATTAGGCTTATTTCTAGACCAGCTAAGCTCAACCATTGTCTTGTATTCGCGTGTTATTCATTAGTCAGTTGTAAGGGACTAAAACTGCTTGCATTGGAAAGCCCTTCGGAGGACCAGTAACAGCTAACTACGTCAGAAAACGAATCAAAGCAAAATGGGTCAACGGAAGAACGGAATACAACACAACAACCTGAAGAAGATAAACGCTGTGGTAATGGGAAAAAACGGAGTTGGAAAAACCGGTAAGCTAAATTTAATCAAAGTGGTCATGGCAAAAAGTGAAGCTGAACTTTATAAGGATCGATCATTATGCACTTGTCATACTTTTTAGCAGAATTTTGCCTTAGTATATTCATGTTAAGGAGTGGATATTAGAAGACTAAGAGGCTTCCGAGAGTTTTTTAATTGAAATAGTGGGTAAACATTCATTGTATAAATTATTAAGTGGATTGCAAACACTTGATGCGTTTTTGCTAGATAAACTGTTTGATAATTACTAGATTATTGTGTTTTTGTTATGATCGCAGTGTAAACACTTACTGGAGGTCATTGTTCTTAGCAGAGAAGTGCAAAAACCGATAAAGAAAACTTGCTAATTATTTGTTAGTTATTAGACCGCATTTCTCAGACTGATGAGCGTTTCTCTTTTCTTTTTTGTAAAACAAGCTCTGACTGTTCGTCTTCTGACCAGAAGATTCATTGGCGAATACGACAGCTCCCTTGGTAAGATTTAACAATAAAATATTCAGATACGTTGATTGGTTTTAGCTTACACTTGTAAAGCTACCACAGATATGTAACAGGCCTGCTGCCGATGTAAGGAAATGCATGGGAATTCTTTATCATTGTCGACATAATGGCATTAGTGCATTTGAAACGGCATACAGCCCATACACCTCTGGAGAACACGATATATGCCGATGATGTATTTTATTGTGGTTTCATAACTGAAGAGTGTCAGGAATTCGACAATAGATCATGAATAATAGAATGACTTTCAAAATGGATTTATGTTAAGTAAGAAAGTGACCTTATTGAGTTGCGTTGGATTGATCTTTAAAAGAGGGCGCTATATCTGGATACAAGGGCATTTCTCTCTTTTGCAATCACAGCTGGCGAAAAGATTTACCCAGTGTGTGTCGTCATTAAAATTGATACATCTGACTCGCAATCTCCGCGCGACAACTTGCATACTTTACGCAGAATATTTTTATGCATTGCGCAAAAACAATGCTCAGCTGCGTTCTCTGAAGATAGATTTCACAACTAAGTTCCTTATGGCCCAAAGCACAATTACCAAATTTGGACTCAAAGCTCTCGGCACTTGCCGATTTACTACGTAAATTGACGAGGCTTTGTTTTATGTGAGTGTAACTCCTCAAGAAAGTGGCAGGTCTCTTATAAATCATGTCAACAGTATAAGTTATATAATAAGTGTCCCTTCTTGAGTTCCGTATTGAAGCTCATTAAGTTCAAACAGTCGAATGAACTACTCGATCAGCGAACATTTTAAGCACACCTTAAGAACAACCCAATGGCCCTTATCAGGAGAACACGTTCTCTTGCCCCTTAAGTATGCAAGATTACATGTACGTCAGATGAACGAATTCATCACCAAGCCTCGCTTGCGGGGGAAATTCTTCACATCTGCAGGTTTTGTGCAAGATACTTCTTTCAACTCTTCTGCCGGGCATTCGGAGAATTCATTTATGTAACACTTCGCAAATTTACATTTTCAAAACGAGACAGAGTTGACGAAGTTGTCTCGTCTTACGTCGACACATATAAAGGATATTCTTGATTCGAACTGCCTAAACTCAGTCGGTATACTCCGCTTACTAGACTTTCATGGTCCATTTGCCATATATGCTATACAAAAGCAACGCTCAATTGTGAAAGGGCGCCGTAAAATCGTCCGGGGAGTACAATTCATCTCGCCTCGCCTTTAAAGTGGTAACCGAGAGCTAGGAATCTTTCAAGCACTTCCTCTTCTAAAAAAGGTTTTTCCTCTAGCTGTCCTGAAATGAATCATGTGTCGGTTAAAAAATTTCAACTTGAAATGAATTGAAACCACACAAATACTATTCTAGGGCGATCGTAGCCCTAGCTGGTTAAGTTTAATAAATCTCGCTTGTATAATCATCTCTAACGTTTGAGCGCTCTCTCCTACGGCAATTTTGTTCCACTAGGAGGCTGGGAAGATGCAAAAAAAGCTTTGTTGATTCTTTTTTTCTTTTTGTCACTTAACTTCTGTTGAGAAGCCTGCTCCTGTTGTTTTCCCCAGCAATGCTACAGTTGATAGCTCTTTAGGTAGTTAATTCTTGTTCTTTAATTCCTTTATAGAGGCTGGTGGACATCGGGTGGAATTAATACTGATAGCGTGTCTAAGTAGCGTTCTCATACGTTCCAAAACGTTTCTTTTCAGAATCGATATACAGACATTTTTTTGAACTGGAAGGAGAACACATTTTAGTCGATATCATGGACACTGCTGGCAAGGTAACGAAATCAAGAAACTATCTAGGTGGACTCTAAAAGACAATTTATTTTTCCATGCAGGCTTCAGTTCTTTTAAATTTTCCTTCTCCCGAGCCCTCGGAATAGTTTTCAGTTGACTGGGCCGGGTTTCAAAAGCTAGGTTAAGATAACCCAGAGTTAGGGCGAGATTTCATTTAGACTGCTGAAGAAAGCTTAAAAAGCAAATTCCGTTAAATTCTTCTTGTCTACAATTTGATTATTGTCATTATTTGATAATCTTAAAAGAAAAGAGAAAATTAACTGAGAAAGAGCTTTTGAACAACAGAAAAAGAAACCGGATTAAAATTTAACCCGGGGTTAACACTAGTCGGCCTTTGAACAATGAGCCTTGGTCTGGCGCGCGGCCAAACAGTATAAGCATTTCTTTGTACAACTATATTGATGTCTAGCCCACAAATCCCTAGCTTATTCTAATCGTTCAGTATATTGTCTATTAGGATCCAAATCACTATATAACTTTCTAACCTTTTCCCGAAATGAATAAAAGTCATTTTCTTTGAAATATTTTTCTTTGTCCCCACAATTCTTTTAAGAAAGCCAAATGCTTTGACTGGGTCTCAAAGATCCGTATGGCATGAATTTTGGGGATTTATCTTAAGTGTCAGAGGTTTCTTTCTTACAATTATTTCCTGATGGTTCGCGATAAGCTGCGAACGTGAGCAGCGAGCCGCGCGGACAGAGAGGCGCGAGGCGCCGAGAAAACCGTGAGCACCGTTTCTTTCATCCCAAGTAAGTTAAGAACGAACTTCTGGTGAAAGGGTATCTGGTATAAAATTATCCAACTAAATTCGAATTCTTATCATTTCTTTTGACAGAACACAGAGGAAAAACTAGCTCAGTGTTCCTCTTTTGGAAACCTTTTTCTCCTGCTTTTTTCCATCACCGATAGATCATCTTTCGAGGAGATCGAAAGACTTGGACGGTTTATCAGAGAAACAAAAACCCACGGAGAATACAGCATAATGGTAGTCGGAACAAAGCGAGACTTACGTGATTACCGAGCGGTTTCCGAAGATGAGGGTCACGTGGTTGCAAATAAACTCGGAGGAACTTACTTTGAGATTTCCAGCGCGGATAGCTACGAAGGCATCGAAAGGCTTTTTAGTTATTCAATAAAATCTCATTTAAAGTCAAGGTTCTTTGACCCGGAGAGGAACAGAAGAGTAATGGGACTGAAGAAACTAAGAGATGGCCTCCTTTTGCGGACTAAGTCATTGTACAGAAGTCGAGGCATGACATTCTAAGACCAAACTGTTTCTGAACTTGTAGATACTAGAAATTTAATGGTCTATTCAATATCCTGAACAAATTTATTTATGTCACATGTATATAAGCTGTGCTTACAACTGGCTTTTTACGGCTTGCTACTGATGTATAAACGCATATTCCTGGGTGTGCAGAGTCTTCGACCAAACGGGGAAATTTCCGTTGAGAAAAAAATTATGTTCTATGCTGTATATAGGAGAGAATAAAGGTAGTCATCATAGACGTATTTTACTCTACAGTGTTGGCGTGTTATATGTGCTTTCCAACCATAACAAACAACTGAAAAAAATGAATTATAAATTATTTAGAACACATTTGAATTTAAACATTAAACATAAGGTACTGCCAGAATTTTTGTGTTGGTAGTGTGCGGGTTTCTTTGTTGTTGTTGCTTGGATTATCAGCTGTAGCTGACCGATAGGTCTTCCTAATTATAAACCCCTCTTATTGTCCAACCACGCTTGTTGTCAAGTCATTTTTTTGCTAAAAAGAGCAGAAATGTCCACCCTATAACACACCCGTATAACCAGAGACTTAAAGAGGCTGTGTCACGTGACAATAGCCTTAGAAAACAGCTGACATTTCGCGATGCCACCAATGGTTTCCTTGCGAAATGACATCTGAGGAACAAGCGCAGAAATTCGTGTCACTGATTGGTTGAAAATTTGCTTCATCCAATCAGTATGAGGCACAACCCAAATGTGGGTAGTGACGCGCCATCAGCAGGGAATTTTGCATTCGTTCCTCAGACGTCATTTTGCGGCGAGACCAGTGGTGACCTCGCGAAATGTCGGCTGTTTTGTCAAGCTGTCCAGTTCATTTCGTTAATATCGCCAATTATTCTTCGTTACGCGCTATGGAACTGAACGTAAACGAAGAAATTATTTGTAAACAACAAAATCACAGCCCGGCTTCTTCTCCAACAAATATCCTTCCCAACACTGAAAAATTAACTTTCAAAGTCTGTTAGGCTAGCAAGTTAATTTTCAAAAACGCACAATTTCAATGTCTTTTAATCTATTTCATTTTTTTAATTTTCGGTGTTATTAATGCCTTCTTTTAATGTTTTAAGCGATTATTTTTATGTTTCACTTAATTTGGTGGCATTTCCTACTGTTAGAATTTTGATCAAATTCAGCTTGATACATCTCCTTTTATATTTGTGACAGTTAATTCCTAAAAAATATACAACTGCTTTATTGGGGCGGTCAGCTAGTTTCTGGTTCATTTCTCTGCGTTTTAAAAACTTGCCGTTGATGTCACCGAATTTCTGTATTTCCTTCTTTCCTCAGATAGATCCTCATGACTGGATGATATTTTCCTCAAAGGTTCAGCTATCTTTTCTCTTTCTTCACTAAAACTAAACGTTTTTGTTCTCAATGGTTCTGGCGTCTCACCTCCATCTGAAACTTCATGGTCAACAGATTTCGTCCGCGTTGATTTTAATGTATCTCGTTCAGATGGTTGCTCATTTCCACTAGATTTCTTCCGGAATGACTTGGCTGTTTCCACGAGGCCATCCTTGACCCTTGACAACGGGGACCCTTTATTCTTATCAAGGCACCGCCTCAAAGCAGCCAAGAGTAGCTCTTGCGTCTCAACATATCCCTCAGAGTTAGATATTTGATAAAATTCACAATTCAAATTTTTTGCCAAGAGCTTTCCCTCTTGCTCTTCAACTTCTCTCAAGTGTGTGAGGTCGCTTTTTGTCCCTACGATAATGACTGTAGCCATAGAGTTCAGGGACTTAAAACGTAAAATATAGCGTGTTAAAAGGGATGCTTCCTCAAACGAGGTGCGATCTGTCGTTGAGTACAACACAAAGAAGAGTTCGGCAAAAGCAATGCACGATTGCATTTTCTCCATTGAATTCTATCGAAACAAAAAATGTAGGAAGGAACAAGTTAGGGAATATATAGGCACAAAAACGGCAAGACTATGTCATAGGCCTTGACGTTAGGGTACCGAGTTGCCTCTAGTCTTTTTTTTTTCAAAACGAAGCTAAATGTGAAGTCTCCGAAAAGGGTCTCGATGTAGCCTGTTCAAGGCTCCGAGATAGTCGGGTCAGCGAAATTGAGGAAGCGCGCTCACCGTTTTTCGCGTGCCGTTTCACTTACACGTCATCCCTACTATCTCAGAGCCTTGAACAGGCTAATCTTTGATGGGGTGGTAGGATGTAACGGCTAACGGTAAATATTTTGCCTTTCATATGGCAAACGGTTGATATTTCTTGATTTTTGGGTTAACTGAGGGTTAACTGAGCAATCGGCTCCTGCTGAAATATAAAAGTTATCACACTCTTGTTCTACTTTTTCCTTTGAAGCGGCCACTCCTTATGTCCGGATTGTAAGAGCTAAGCATGACATGCTTTTTCTGCAAAGTCTTTGTAAGCAAAGCGACAACAACACATTGAGTATAAACAGAAAAACAAGACAAAAATTGGAGTTTTAAACTTAAAACCCACCTTTCCAGCAGTATCCATGACGTCCAAGGATATGGACTGACCATCAATAATCAGGTAATGTCGATAAGTTGCTTCTGTTGGATCAGTGTGAAAAATCACAAGTTTTGCGTTAATCAACAGAACAACAGCTTCAGTCAAAGGCAGGAGATTCTCTCTTGCAGGAAATAATGGGCTCCTAAAAAAGGAGAAAGTTGAACTCCCCGGTCTCCTTAGCATAAAAAAAAATGTGAAAAGGAGACTTTAAACCAAATCTCGAATTTCACCATAGTATTGTTGTCACATGAAAAATTGGTGTTAGGAAAATCAGGTCGGAATCGCATCTGTCTGAGACCCGACCCCCGAGACTACTTGCTAGTAGGCTAACCCTGAGAGCATGCTGAGAGGCCAGTGGTAAAAATCTTAATCATGGAGGGGAACCACCCTTCCTATTTCACTGTCACATCCACTTCTTTCAACTTCATCGTTCGTTGCCGCAGCACGAAGCCCTCAATAGGATTCAATGAAACCCCCAGCTACTATTCATCACTGATGCAACCACAAGCGATGTTCAGAAAAAGTAATATTCCTTCTACTTCCGAGAAAAGAGCAACGATAGGAAATAAAATGAATCCAATCAGATTGCAAAGAACGATAGCATTACCGCAGCCAGGTGGGTCTACGACCTGACTTTTCAAAGATAATTTTCAATGTTACTCAGCCAAAGAGAAACCTGGAACGCCGTAGCCTGCGAAAAAGGCCGTTTCTCTTCGCTCCTCGCTGCTGGGGACGTTTCGCCGGGTGGCAAACGTCCATAGCGGCCAGGAGCGAGGAGACGAGACGGCTGATTTCGCAGGTTACCAGAACGCTTGAAAGATAATTATTTATAAAGCTTACCTAATGTGCTATCATACTCTCCAATGTAACGTCTGGTCAAAAATCGAACAGTCAAAGCTGTAGGGGGTAAATTAGTTCAATTAATACATTGAACACTTCAGTTATCAGTGCAGCTTATCGCAGAGGTGTCATAATTGATTAAAACAACAATAGAGAACACATTTATTAGTAAATCATATTTAAAGTTTTTTTTGCGCAAAAACTAAAAACAGGCACTAAACTAGCAGAAAAAGTTGAATTGATGACTTTTTATGATGCAGTTAAAAATGCAGCGATGTCGAAACAACTGTCCATTTTCAGTAGAAACTCTCTAGGGGAGCGTAAAATGGTTCAATAGATTTGATTTATTGAAATCTGAGTTAAGAGAGATTATCGATGATTTGTGGTTGCTCATTGAGTAGAAATTATAAACACTGAATAATTCTCTAAAGAAGCAAGAAAGAAACGTGACGGCGGCGGTGCCTTTAGAACTTCAAACGGACTGAATTACTTTGAGAAAAGGCGAGATGTGGTGTCTGAATTGTTGTGAAACCAAAAGAGAAGAAGAAAGAAAAACAAAGCTATAAATTGAACGACGGTGTTTATGAAGTAATTACATTTTTTAAGAAACTTTCCTCAGGTGGTAGCGTGAAAGAAAAAAAAAATAAAGCAGAGTATGGGAACCTGTAGAGAGTGATGCTATGTGCAGAATATAGAGTTCACAAATTTTACATCTCGGTTTGCGGTTATGTATGAGGGCCCTTGACTAACCTATAATCAATATACTTATGGTGCACAATTTTTCGTTGGGATATAATAAGCATAACCAACTTAAAAAGGAGCTGGGAACAAAATGTCTTAAACTACACCAGCAGGAATTTGTGACCAACAGGGAACCAATAAAATGTAACTAAACCTGGAATAAGGCCAGATTTCAGTTCCTAGTTTCATGATCATGAATCGTAACACCGAAATAGTGACATAAAGACAAATAATTTAACGAAACAGCTTTCTAAATTCAGACACGTACCTTTGGTTCAAAAATGTGGCAAAGGAGGAATAAAGCTCTCACACTAGTTTACGTTTTTCACCCTGCAGTTACTCTTGTGTAAACCAACCATGTCATTTATGGTCCAGCGTGAGGGAAATCTTACGAATGATCTTGTTCAATAAAAAAACTTGTATTGTTTAGATTAGTAACTGCCGGTATGCGGCTTTAATAGCGCTGTCCGAACTTTGAGTTACATTAATTTTTCTTCAGTGACTGCCGATACACGCCGCAGCATTCACGATTCCTACCTGACTTTCCAACGCCGTCTTTTCCAAGGATAACTGCACGAACGTTCTTAAGCGTGCTAAGGTGAACATTCCCAGCTCCACTACGTCGTCTTCCCATCGTAGAACAAACAGCCACTAGTTTACCTCAAAACGTTATCTCTTATGTATAAGAAAAACAACCGCTTTCTTAAGAGTGTGTGAAATTCCTTGATTATGTTTACAGACCCGCCGGCTGCCCAGTTATTGTTATGAAAGGCGTCTTGATCTCAGGGGGTTTGGTTGGACGGTGGTTATTGTTATGAAGTAATGAAATAACCGACTGGAACATAGAAGATCCGGCTTTCTTGATCAACTCGCTTGCACAGTACCCAAGGCAAGACTACATTGAACTGCACGCGATCCTTGGAGTATAAGGCTGATATAGATACTTCTAATGGTCCTAGTCATTTCCCCCAACAAGACATTTTCCACAGCGAAAAAATAAAGCTGGACTGATCTTGTAATAAAGAAAACTTGGTGTTATTTTGTCAACTTCATCAATCATCATTCCCTGGCTGTCATATCGTATTATTTTCAACCTTCGTCACTCTTCGATCATTTTTAATTTCATGATCAATTAATTAGCGGATAACAATTATTAACGCCATCAAATAAGAACAATTGCTGTTTTCTGGATGCGAACAACAATTAAGAATTTTTGTTACGTGTCATTTGCTTAATTCTTAAAACTGAAACACAAGGTAAAATTTGGCTTTATCGCTATTGTATGAAAAATATTGATCGCTTGGATTTTTCTCCAAAAGTGAGAAGGAAGATGCGGAAAAGGATTATTTGCTCTGACTAACTTGTCACGTCCTCCAGTCTTCTTGTAATTCTTGATAACAAAATGGCACTCTCTATTTAAAAAAAGGGTTATGTACGCTAACCGTTGTTTAAATTTTAATTTGCAGTAAAACCCACCTGACAAAAATACTGTTTTTTCCACTGAATCCATTTGCGGCAATAAACGATCAGGTGGCGAGTCCCAAAAATAAGGATTTGATCTGAAATATTCACTCAGAATTTGGATGGATTTTCTCCCAAATCACACTGTCATGTAACAAAAATTCTTCATCATGTTACTGTTTCTGATAAAACAAACTTGCACTGCAGCAGCACTACACGCTGAAGTGCTGAAAAATCAGAAATATCAATTTTTTACACTGCAAATTGAACTTTGCAATCGACCCCGATAACTCGAACCCTCGCTAACTCGAACTGTTTTTCAGAGTTCCAGTTACCGGAGTATTTTGCGTTTGCCGTTTGTCCGTCGCCGAAGATTGCGTGATTTTGCGTGGCTGCGAGGCTGAGCAGGGGCGGCCGCTTAACCGGTATGCACATTCTAGCAGGGTCGTGACTAGAATGGATACTCCAAAATCAGGTATCCGCTCGGAGACTGGAACTGAATAAAATTATTTTTCGGCAAATCGCTCCGACTCTTTACGACCTTGTTGTGTTGAAAGACTAAGTATATAAAGACTGAAAAGGCTAAGATGAGAATGGTTACTCCAAAATATGCATCAAAGCCTACATAGAGGTTAGTTGTTTTTCACGTTCTTTTTGTTAGAATTTAGTGCAAGGAGCAAACAATGTCTGTTTAATTACAGTACCACTACCGCGACTGCCGTGTAAAGCTTATTCATAGCAAAGTATCTGTTTGGATAGCTCAGAATAAGGTGGATACTTCAGAATAAGAATGGCCAAAATATGGAAGTTTTGGCCATCTGGATTATTATTACTGAACTTCCCAATATAAAAATGATTGTTACGTTTACAAAGAGGGTACAAATACAGTCAACCATTGTGTAATTATGGCTCAGTTAATTCGAAGCTTGCTTATAGGATAGCAGCCCGGTGTAGGTGGGGGTGGGGGATGGGAGGTTTACTCGACCAATATTTGGGTGTAGGTGTGCCGCTGAGGGTTTGAAACCCATACCCTGTTTAGGATAACACCCTCAACTTTAGTATCCAGAGAGGACAACTCCCTCAGATGGGGACAAGGTTATCAAGCACACCTGTCAACTTGTACTTATCGTATTTAGACAAGGGTGCCAAGAACAATAACATTTATATTTATTCCAGTAAATGCTTCGGGTGATGACGTACTAAATATCTGCAAACATTTGCGCTAAGACGAAATCGATCATGCATGAAACACCCTGTTTATAATTAGAACAGACTCGCACAAATCATGCACACTGTTTAGGACAGACTTGTGCCAAACTATATACCCTGTTCAGGACAGAGAGGACGAAAACCATACCCTGTCCAGCAGAACACCCCCATGGAGGCCATATAAGGGAGTACCCCCCCCACCCCCCAGGGAAAGCAGACAGTTGTTGAATTTATAGCTCAACATAAACTATTTCTGTTTTCTTATATATTATGGTTGATTTTTTTTCACTTTTAAGTGGTAAGTTGCTGTTTTAGTTTAGTGTGAGAAGAATGGGTACTTTATAGATTATAAAAACCAAAGTGACCCTCACAACCTGTGGGATACTCGGGTCAACCTGTTGGTGCGCTGGGTATCTGGCACAATTAGCCAACCAGAACCCAAATCCTTTTGCAGTCTTTTCTATGACCAAAAGGCCCAGTGTTAGCTACTTTTGGCAAATGTAAACTATGTGATTCCAAGTTAGTCATTTTGTATTCCCGAATCTGCTGTTTGAACCTTTGTAATTTCCAGTCACATTGAAGGTGTTGAAAATGGAGCCCCTTTATTGTCCATCCTGTCATGAAATGTTGCCCCATCCACAGGTAGCCCAAACTCTGAAGGAGTTTGTTGGACTTTGAATTTATAAGAGAATGTATGGGGGGGGGGGGGGGGGGGGGGGGGGGTTACTCGACCAATATTTAGGTGAGGATTTGAAACCCTGACCCTGTTTAGGACAAAAAAAATTCCTAAAATACATACCCTGTTTTGCACATCACCGTCAATCTTCTTACCCTGTTCCTGTTCGTACCCTGTTCGCTTTGATTCAATTCCTTAAGTTTTTTGGCATGTGCAGCAGGTTTCGATTGTGAGTAATTTACCAGCTTTTGCCCATAAAGAGCAAATATGCTGTTGAAAAATTGCAATCCTATTCAAGAGTTGACTGCGAAAAACCCGTTGTTCCAAACCTCAACCGAAGTGAATACTTTGAACTGGGTCACTCAGATAGGTTTTATCACGCACGTGCTGTGCGTGATTTGTCAACATTCATGACTAAATCCTGTGAATCCTGTCCCTTTTATATTAAGGTGATTAACTCTAGCGCACTCCTACACACTTCACTCGCAGTTCTGTTTTCGGAGAGCGTTAAATCAAAAGTGTTGCAAAGACTCACGCAACACTCAGACGCGTAAATGTCAGTGCGTGACATGTCACCTTACACAACCATATCCTGGTGATATCTCAGGAAGCAAACGTTTCATTGTACAAAGTTTGTTTTAACTCATTTTTAAAAAAATGAGTGCAAAAGGGTGCACCTCGATCCGATCACCTCTTTTCGGTTCCAGCTGTTTTGAGTTTTGCATGAATTTTTTTTACCGTTTCAAGCATCTTCTGCGTTATCCTAGCACCAGAGCTTCGATCTCAAAATACCCAGGATAAAATAAACCCCGCTCACGGTTTAATGTAAAGCTCCGAGGTTGGCACCTCGCTCTCGCGGCGTTGCCACAAACTATCAATAATAATCATAATTAAAAAAAATAAAAACATTGGTACCCAGGGTATTTTTGGCGTCGACACGGCCATTTTGTTTAATTTGTGCAAGATATATAACTTTCATTTCGCTTAGTTCTAAACACATTGTATAAACAGGTACCGGTAGCTATCTTTTTTATCAGCAACTAATGTGCAAATTGTGTCAAAGAGGTTAGCTGTAAGAAAAACCAAATACATCTACGAGAATAAGGATTTTAAATTATACCCCGAAAAATGAGATCCTTCAGAGCTAATGTATTGACAATTTTGAAGTGTAATGATTTGAAAAGCAAATAGATTTTGAAACTTGGATCCAGGTCAGCAATCAGTGTTCTGCATCAGTCAACATCCTCCCTGACAATTGTGGTGCATTTGCGCATATCTTCAGTCCTGGGTGGGGGGAGGGGACTGGCATTTGCTACCCAGGAATACCCCCAGGAATACCCCCATTCTTTTGCTTATCAAGCCAAAACGCGACTCATCACTATAAATAAAGCGAAAACTACTACAGTGTTATCGAGGATTTATATGGGGCGTAGTGCTATCTACCCTCCTTTGATTTGGCTGTTGAAGTGTACCCACCATCGGGAAATTATGCTATCCAAGTAAAGAGAAAGCTAGCCAGTTCCAGGCGTGTAGATAGTATAGCGCGGGAGAAAAATTCAGGAAGAATTTCGTTCCCCCCCACCCCTTTTCCCGGTGTGCAATTTAACTCGCTCCCCAACATCTGACCTCCGCGCTCTACTATCTGAACGCCTGGAACAGGCTAAAAGATAGCTAATGCCCGGGTCCTTGTCCGGGGGGATGTGCGCAGCTGGAATTAACCGTTGAATGTTTTTTGCCTACCTCTCGAACCAAAGTCATTAGCATGTCCGATTTGAACTTCTCACTAAAAATACGGAATATCTAAGAACGTTTGGCTACCGAGTTAATTCTAATATTCACTTGACACATGTTTTTGTATTTACAGTTTTTTTTGTGGTAGTTTTTTGAATATACTTTAAATGGTTCCAACTAGACAGCTAGTACAGTACACGACTTTCTTCTTGTGTACATTCCTTTGAAACCTTCTTTCATTCTCGATAAAGGTCCTGATTTATCCTTATCGCCATTTTCCTGCTCCACTTTGTTGTCCAAATCAACGCCTCTCTTGTTTAAACACAGTCGTAAAGAGTCGAAAAACAGGGAATTCGTCTCGGTGAAACCTTCGGAAATAGATATCTCGCAGAATACAGACCCCAGTTCTTTTGCAAGCCCGAGTCCTTCATTCTCCCGGATTTTCCTGTGGCGTTCTTGGTCTGTCTTCGTTGCTACCAGAATGAGGGTGCTGTTATTGTTTTTCACCTTTTTAAAGTAACGCCCCAAACGCCTTGCTTCCATGAATGAAACGCGATCAGTTATTGAGTACAGGATGAAGAACAGTTCTCCGAATGAGGCCAGTTTCACCAACTTTTCCTCTGTGTTCTATGGGAAGGAATGAAAAAGAACATCACATTCGGCCATAGTAGTTGGCTGTATGAATTAACTGAAATTAAATTGATCGAGTAGATATCGAATGTATGGGAGAGGTCCTTGGCTAGAAATAACCAAGGGCAAGTTATCCGCTCAAGCAGAAATGGAATGTATTGCTCACAGGTAAAACATGGTCAACATACCTCTCCCGCGGTATCCATTATATCAAGGGCCACATACTGCCCATCTAGGGTCATGTGATGTCGATACGTCATTTCTGTAAAGAACAACTTGATTTGAGCAAAACGAAGGTGATCGAAAGCATGTGAAAAACATATCATGATGCATACCATCTATTCGCCTTCTGGAGGAAAATTATTATTTGAATATTAAAGGGTCTTTCGAAGCCGCACTCTCCAAAAAGGAGGAATATTTATGGGTCCAGATAATTTACTTTCTTTACCATTCCATAACCGCGTTTGTTGCCGCGAAGGTTAACTCATCCAAGAATTGTTAAAATCTCCTGCCGACTAACTGATGTTCAACACACTAACAGAGGTACAGGTCAAACCAAGAGCCATTATGGCTCTTGGTATGGCCCTTGGTCAAACGTTGTCCCCCCTGACAGAGTAAAAGCCACTTACCTAGATTTTTGTCATATTCCCAAATGAAACGTCTTGTTAGAAATCTCACAGTTAGTGCTACAACGGAAAAGATCTCTCTTAAGTATGAGCTAGCTCCAGAGGTCCCTTTTACAAATAGTAACAGTGTTACATTAATCCCGTGATTTGCTGTAAAGGCTTCGCCGCCCAATTTTAACGTGATGCTTTAGGGACGAATATTGCACCCAAGGTTTCCAACGAATGTAGGTGATTACGTTCTTTAATATTTTGAGGCTTATGTCCTTACACGGACAATAAAATAATGACTACAACTTCCCTAGAAAGGGGCAAGCCACAAGAACCTATTGCAGTGGAACCCCTCCTTATGGAGATCTCCATAATTAGGACCCCTCCCTATCACTGAGATAAAGATACCGGCAAACTTCATATAATCCATATCTCCGAGTATACACCTGTCTATTACGGACTTTTGTCTTGGTTCTAAAGACACCAAACCTCATACAACCCCTATCACTATAATAAGGAAACCTCTGTAATGAGGACACTTGGCTTGAGCTTGTTCCCTTGGTTTCCTTGTTAAGGAGTTTCGACTATACATAGCCCAGTGTCATTCTAGAACTCACTTGACTTCGTAGTGAGCTCGTTCTAACCAATCTCAACGCGCGGATGCACTTGAACAAAAGACGCATATATAAGGACAATGCTGTTCCTAGTAACTCATGATCATCTCGTACTATAATGCTCAAATGTTCCAAATAATGATAACTCTCGAGTACGTGATGCAGGATGACTATTACTTTCATCGATCACGTTTTTGAACTTGAATGTTTTTGGATGTTTTTAATGTTTGTTTGAAGTAAGGTAAATCACATGTTTTGCATACAACACAAAACACGACGAAACGTTTGAAGAGACGTCTACAGGGTATGGAGGACTTTTTGTAACACGTTTGCATTCCCGACACAATTTAAGTCTTCTAAGTGCTTGGCTGCTAAACGTTAGAGAGCTCTTCAAACAAGAATTCTAGATAGTATAGCTATGATGCTTAAAAAAGATATCTTTTAACAATCACAGATGGCGCAGTGTGAAACTATATCTATATTATTAGAGCCAGGGTAAATTGAATGATTCAGATGTTGGAAATATTTAGAACTAAGCTTTAAAAAAGAATCAGGCCTTATTTAAAGATTCATATGGGAAACGTCGTTGTTTGATGTTATTATTAGTTTGCAAATAGTCATTCAAAGAATTGAAGCACAGATTTTTTTTACCACTAGCGGTATTGCTACCGATAGGTCTAGACTAATCACTGTACCTGTCTAATCTAAACCATTGCGTGCCCCTCGGCAGGGTACCTTAAACTGTATTTTCCTTTTTGACCACGAATTTCGGCATCGGAAATACCCATATAGGTAGATAGAGAACCACATTAACCTCAGGTTAAAATTCTGGGTACGTATTTCCTAGATTCAAGTCACCGAGTACGTCGGAATAATATCAGAAGCCAAGAAAGAGATACTTGTCGTGATAAAAAGTAATTGATACTATTTTGAAGTGTATTGATGCATTTTTGCAGCTATCTTTCCTTGAATTCTTTAGTTAGATCCTTACCATTAATTTTCATGTTGTTTACATGTTTTGCTTGTTTGTTCGTTACAATCCTATATTTAGCTCGTTATTGCTAGATCATGCACAACGAACTAAAAAAAAGTTCTCAAAGTTTGCGCCCAAATAGGATTTTCATCTGTAGGGCGTTCTGATAAATGAGAGTTTTTATGCGCTTTGTGATGGCCAATATTATTGTATCTTTTCAAGTGGACACAGTCATATCCGAAGATGAAAGTTGTTAATTGATAAGTGATTTCAAGCGGCGAAGTTGGTCTAGTTCTTAGTGGACTGTCTAGTCTGAGACCTTATATTATAACTTTCTTTTACTGATTTTCCGCAAGTTTTAAGTAAAAAATGCAACCTCAAGCTACAGTATTACATTTTATTGCACAAGAAAGTCAAAACGTCTGTGTACTCGGTACTTTAAAAGGAAGACTAACTTTTATGGTTATCCAGCTCTTTCTTATCAGAAAAAAAAATCAGCATGTGAAGTTACGAGTGGCTTTTGTGGTGGATTGATTTCTAGTTCGCGACAAGATGCCGCACTGATAACTACCTAAAATATCAGGAAGTATATCTGGCGACTGTGTTTCCTTTCGACATCCTTTTCAGCGCAGCCGACAGTTGGTTGGTCCTCAATGTGCGCCGTGCCATTTTAACTGTATAGATACCCAGTGTGGCTTCCGTTTTGGAATAAATTCAGCTCATTAGACTTTAGCACAGCAGATGCTATTCTATGCACTACATATTAATTTACACGATACGTTTAACATGATGACAAACGACTTATTTGTTTTTCAGTCCTATTTTATGTCTGACGCATTCCACTGATTGCTTATTTTACTTTATTGATCATGGTCAGTTTTGGCACTGAGGTGGAGTCGCCAAGCTACGTAGTATATTTCAAACTTTGTCTTTAACGATACGATATTTGGTTGAAAATTCAGACTAGAACTCTCGTGGTTAAGAATAGTTTATCTCTGGTGCCTCAGTTTCCTATAGTAATAAAAAAAAAATCTCTTAATTTGAACATAACTAATGGAACCTTGTTTTTAAAAATGCAATCCGTCTTCCAGAAGGAGCTAATTAAGATTTTTTTGAACTGTTTTCTTTTTTGATTCAGCCCTCAACATTGCAGGAAAAACAAAAAGTAAATTAAAGTCAAACACAACAAGGACAAATGGATATCTATCGTAGAAATATTCCTTATTTTTGTTCGATTGTAAACTGCATGTTCCCTGTCAGGCTGTGCAAACGTCTTCGGTTGCAAAAGTATCTTTACGTTACGTTTGGATGATTTGCTTTGAGTCTGAATTTAGGTCAAGATGTAGGATTGCTTTTGATTCACAAAGAAGATCATTGTTCAGTACGTAGTTTATTAAGGCGGGATGATTAATTGCGACTTTACGATCAATCTACCCCAATTTTTCTCTGTCTAGGGAAATCGAATCAACTTGAAGGTGTCTTTTTTTCCAACATGCGTGTTCTGCGTTTTGTGTTGCGCGCAAGAGCAGTTACCAAATTTATCTTTTGAAAAACCAGCAGTGGTAACAGTGGACCATTTCAAAGCGCTAATGTATAGATCAACCCACCTGATTTGCCCACACCATCCAGTCCTAAGACCACAGCATGCACATTAATAATGTTCGTTTGATGTCCCTGGTGATGATTCGTGGATGCTCGTTTTCGCCTCATGATATAATAGAGGTAAACCGCACTGAAACATAAAAAGATAAGACACACGTAACTAAAAAAAATTCTTAAATTGATGTTTGATTGCCAAGACACTCACTTTAGTTACGTGCAACGTTGTTAATGATGATCCTGGTTGCTATTATTATTGGTCACGTTTCTGGGAAGTAACCAGTGACTGAAATGCAATAGCAATACAGCACCCTACAGTTATAAACATAGTTCAGACACGTGACTTTTCGGCTCTGTCGTATGCCACAAATAGCTGCTACATGCAAACAGCACAGTGGATGTTGACCAAATAACAGACTCTGATGCGGCTGGTAAAGACATTTGCTGATTGACTTTCGGATGTCATGTGCTGTGGTTTAATTTTATTGTTGGTTTGATTTTTATTTTCCTTTTTTGGTCTGAGATCGATTGATAGCTGGTTTAGATTAGAACAGAAAAATAAAGCATATTTGAACCAAGGTATGTGTATTGTTCATCCAATTCTTTTTTGTAATGACCCTCGGTTATTCACGTTGTATCGGTACTAAAGGAAGTGGAAGGGACTCGGTTCGTCCTCACTTATTTTGGATGTCACTAAAACGACATTAGTCAGAAGTTATCGACTGATATCGATTGTCGGATTACCCGGATTTAATCCATTGATCCAAAATGATCAAAATGTTTTATTTAAATGTTCATTGGCTATAATCAAAGCAATCCACGTTTACGGACTATTTTCTCTTTACATAAACAGCTATATTCTAACTTGTCTATAGCTGTCACAAGGCGACTTTTAACAATAGACGCACAGCTTTAATAGGATTTGTGTCGTCGAGGTTAGACAGCAATGGGCGAGATGGTAAACTATAGACCCAATAGACTCGACTGAGATTAGGTTCCCTTCGATGTACTGCGATGTTTTGTATTTGTTATGTTGTGGTTTAAACTGAAATACAAGGAGAAAATAAAACTTCTGAAATGCTGCGAGCGCAAAAGAAATACAACAAAAACAAAATACAGTAGACGAATGGACAACGCACTTACATATTTTTGGGCGCAAAACGTCGGACCGCAAAAGAGATACTCCTGATAGGAAACTAGTACTTAGTGCTCTTGAAGAAACAACGTTGAAATGAAACTGAACTGAAAATGCTAGAAGGCGATTTCAGTTTAAAAACAAAAAATGCAAATAAGGGCTTTCCTAGGCGCACGGAGAGTTAACTAACAGCTAAATTGTTCTTTTGGGCGTTAGATACAACATTGTCGCACGCCTCAAATAGACTTGACTTTTACGCTTGGTTCCCCGAGTTGCGACGAAATATTTCTGTTTGAAAGACACTCGCTCTGTTTTGGTTTTTTAAGGACGTCAGAGTTATCATGTTGCGTGTACACCATGTGCGTGCTACCCAGCGAGCAGTGGTTTCTCCAGGCCGGACGCTGCGGCTTCGAAGGGAGAGAAATCATGCACTGCAAGCAACCGTTTCTAGTGCTTTTCCATCTGGCATGCGCGTCCACGTGATGCCTAGGTCAAAACGTCAAATGGCAGCACTTCCTCTTGTTTCGCAGGAAGCATTAGGGACTTAATTCAACAAAACAATAGGTTTAATAAGCAAAACAACAACTTTGCACGGATGCATCGCGCTTTCTTGTACTTTTCTTTGCCGTTTTTGCCCGACTACGACGTAAAAATGCCTTATTTCGCGTTTTATTCATCTTGATAACGTGAATATTTCCTTTCTCTTCCTGAACTTAGATATGATTCCCAGGAATTCAACTCTAGTAGGGTTTACCTACAGTGACAAAGTAAATAGGTAGGAATGAATAATCCCAATAAGTACTGAATTATTGAAATAGCGCAAATTCACAGCAGGCTCACATTAAGGCAGCAATTGTAGGCGCAAGCAAATGCGCGAGAGCTTTTAAACTTGTCTTAAAAGAAATTTTACATGTTAAAAGTTACAAGTTTATTCGTCCATGGCGCTGGACAGCGGCTCAATCAAAGAAGCGGGCGGTAGCTCGCAGTGGTTTCTGGGGAGAATGGAATTAAGAGAGAGCAGCGATGACCAGTTGTGTGAGCACTTGCCTGGCTCCTATTGTTGTGGCCCGGGTTCGAGTCCTGGCGTCAACGCCATAAGTTTGATCAGGAATAGACCTCTTTAGCTTATATGTTTTGTTTTCCCAATTCAGGTCATGTGTTAATGCTCCAAAGAAATGTTTCTTTCAAATTTCGTCTCATTCACGTGCGCACGAACGCATAATTTATGAAAAGACAAAGGATCAGGTGGCCCTGAGACCTCTATTGGGAAAACAAAACCGACAAGCTGAAGAGGTCTATTCAAAGTGTATCCAATGCCATCTGTAGTTGAGGACAAGAGCCATATATAATGGTCTCATTATGGGTCTTGTTGAGGACTCTTAGGGGGCTCAGGTTTATCGTTTATTGGAGTGTAACCCTCTCTAAACTGATATAATAAGTTTAGTTCAGGCAGATTTTTACATGTCAGTGAATGCACACCGGGCTATGCCTGGGTTGAGCCTCTCCCGGAAAGTATGTACTCTTCATTACTAGAAGAGGATGTCTATTTAGCAGATAGAATGGTAGATAGCCATATCTTTTTCAAATTATCTATGCTGTGGACCGTAGAGATTTCTTATGATACTCCCCGCTATTGCTCTGAGTTTTCCTAATGTGAGGTCTCATTGTAAAAAAACAAACTTTATAGGTAGGCTTTCCTCGTTTTCAAACGAAAAGTTCTACATGAGGTATCCCTAAAAAACACTGCGCAAGATTCAATCAGTGGTAAATATATTTCAGGATGACAAAAAAAAAAAAAAAAAAAAAAAAAAATATAATAAACACAATATTTAAAAATAAAATAAAATACAAAATAAAAGACATTATTTATAAAAAAATTATTCCTAATGAACAAGACACTAATCAAAATTAAATTTATTTTCTAAAGAATTATTATATGTATGTGAGATATTACTTCTACATAACTTACCCCACCACAAATTCACAAAGGTAAAAAACCATCCAAAGAAACAAAAAAAAAAAAAAAAAAAAAAAAAAAATACAGTTGTGCTATTTTTAAACATTAGGTCAAGAGGCGCCGCGATTTCTAAATTTCAAAATTATCTTTTTCTTTTCGGAATCCAAAGCACGATTAAAAGGAATTATATAACTACAAACTGAACCATTAATAGAGAGGACACTTCTATTAACTATGCGTGCCAACTTGGTATAATTATTGATTGTAGTCAATATATAGTGTATGGATACTTGTGGAACAGCAGCCTCCATTATATGTTATTGCTGCAATTTTTTTCCTCATCGCAATGGTTAGATCTCGTACTAAGGGAATATTTGCACTCATATTGTCTCGGAATGTTACGAATCAAACAGGAAGAACTTCAGAGAGGCCCTCTTACGGGTGTCTTGTTATTCCATATCCCTGTAACTCTTAGCAGATATTCCTTATCTTTAAAAGTTAGTTTGATTGTAGAGAATAAAGACGATGTAACTAGCTGTAAAGGTGCAATAACCATTGCGTTTGTTACGGCAGATGCGAATTGTAAAGGCCCGGTTAATCCGTTTCCGGAGGTGATTTTTTACGCCTGTAAACTATCGGTGATTACATAAAGGCTCTTTGCGTAAGAGCTAACAAAGACAGAGCCAAGACGGGTAAACCAATGTGTTCATTATAGAAGCCTACGGAAATCGATCGCTACATGAAGATTTCAAAAATTGTCACAAAATTGCCAAAAAATAGCTCCTAAAATCGTCGATACATCAGCCACTGAATATCCACTGAATAACACTGCCAAAGAATAAAAGTAGCAAACGTTGCACGAAATTGCTCTCAAGAGATGCGCTTAACTTTGGCCCAACGAGCAGAGATTACTTTTACGCGATATGTTTTGACTGTTCGCAGGGTATTGGACTAACGAACCTCTCGCCGGGAATAGGCCTATTCCGAAAACAGAAGGAGTTTGTCGATGTTTAAAAACAGTCATGATGAGTTCATTTGGTGAAAGTACGAGCCGAAGCAAATTAACTCATTTTTTCTTTTGTTCGTTCTTTTTCAGTTTTGTTTCAATGTGGACCTAGCACCATGCAGCCGTTGTCTCGCCGTGGGTTTTACATGGTTAAAAGTTTTTCATGATCATGACGGCGTAGCAGTATATTCCCACCTTATAATCCGGCCTGCTATACTATAACCAACTCAGCTTGTTCAGATTTTTTCTTTGTCCCGTGCTCGTGACATGTTGATCACTTCATTTCTCATAACTTGTTCTAAACTGATGAACAAGAAGTCGGCTATTCGTGATCTCATGATCAGTTTTTAATAACATTTCTTGAGAATGAAGAGCGTGTGGTTTAAGCTGGTCATCCCTGAGCTCCTCATTGTAGGCAAAAGTATAGCGTCCTGTAGGATGTAATTTCATTATCCCTAAAACGTTTCATTAATCCCTTATCCCCCAAATTATTTTGTCAGTTATCCCTTATCCCTTAAATTATTTATCCGGCTATCCCTTATCTCTAAAACCCCTAACAGGGCCTCTTCAGAACTGTAGTTTTCGCCGACGGCTAGTGTTGGCAAAGTATCAGTCGAAGGTTTCTACCTTTAATCACTGTGTGTCAACATGCCTAGCTATGTGCCACTATACTCAATGTTCTGTTGTCCTGATAGCGAATCGGCAGGTCATATATTTGAGCTCATCTTGTGAAACCTCCCTCATGAATAAGAGGATCCCATTCGTTTTCTGTGACGGATTAAGACGTTTTTGTTTTTAATTGGGGTTTGTTACCGTTAGTGGTTGTAAATAAATACAAATTGCCCTGGTCTCGGTTGTTCAAAGGCTGGATAGCGCTATCCACCGGATAAATCTCTATCCAGTGGATAGTGCAATTAGTTTCCCCATTATTTATTCGCTGGATAGTGGTTTATCCAGTGGATAGCGCTGTCCAACGTTTGAACAACCGGGGCCTGATCTGAAGTTAGGACGCGTATACGGAACGTAAGCTATGCCCCATCGCACGTATCGTCACCATTGACTGATACACTTCACATAACAATTCCCAACAATTTATAGAGATCTTCTAGTATTTTAACGCCCCTCTTTTTCCGGACCTGCATGTGTGTAGGATATCAGACCTGTCTACTGTTAAAACAGAAATGAAAGACACTGCACTCATACGTAAAATGTTTAGCCTGATCATACATGGGGTGGTAAGACTCGTTTTGCGTAGGCATTGACCTAGCGGAATACTGAGTCATTTTCCTCTATGCCGTCAGTTCTCTTCAGAATGTTTTTCCGAAGGAGTAAAAATAAATATTTTAACTCACCTTTATATTGGTAACAAAGGTTCGAGTTGAACGTTTTCTTTCTTTTGTTAAGCGTACTTAATCCTTACGTGATCTTTCAAACCTCAGAGATCGCTCCAACACCCTTCAGTCTCACTTTATGATCAAGAAAGTGGTCAACATACCCTTTTGCAGAAAATTGCCGAATCGTTGACCCAGAAGCTTAATCGATTCCGGAATAGATCGGTTGAGGGCTATTTATATTCAAAGATGACCTCAGTTTGTTGGAAGAGTTCGTAATAATGTATGTTGAATTTGTCATAGCAATCACGCGATCGAAAATAAGGGACAGTCAGTAAGAGACATTTTGTTATATTTATTTGTTGCAATATAAACATATATATTAAGTATTTAAACCCCTTTTTATGTATTAGTTAAGAGCTGTCTTCTCACTCAAGCGCAATAATTATGTCTTGATATATTGCAGGGAAAGACACGGCATGTGATGGTCATCATTATTTTACTATTGAACAAAAAATGATATAATTTCTGTTATTCTTATTTCCTTCTTTCATTTCATATTTTAGTTCGATTCAAAGTAACTGGCCAACCCTAACTTTGGTTAAGCTCAAAACTACGACCATTGTAGTCTTTTTCATCTCAGAATGTACTTTTTGTTAAAACGTGCAACTGCACGTGCATGTGAAAACGTAATCACAATATCGCGTTCATGATCGCATATGTTACTGCTGACGCCTTAATCCTCTTTTAGATGTCGGTAATTAGAGGGAATTCCTTCGTGTACAAACGATCAAAACCCAGAACAAGAAGACGGAGAGGATGATCTGCATCCCGCGATCGCCGGGTTGCCGCGCCTTCGTTTCACCTTGGGAGGACTGGGAAGGGACGAAGACTTCCAGGGTCTAGTGAACCTACGGCATTGAGCTTTTGGATGAAATGTTCAGTTGATCAGCACCGTCTAAAATTGATTTTCTGATTGATTCCGTTTTGCTTTGCTGAGAGTGTTTTCGTACGCGAGTGTGCAGAGCCAATCGCAACACAGCAAAGATGGCACCCTTTTCAATGCGGCCCTGCACGTGATTGGTCCGTTTTGCGGCCTGCGTGGTACATGGTAGGCGCTCCAGGGAGTCTATACATTATGCAACAATTTCCAATGGCATAAAATTTCAGTGGGAAGTGAATCTTAAATGCTAATGAGATGTGTACAAAGTGCAATTGAGAGAGTGATGAAGAGCAGAGACCTAGTCTCGATTAGAATTGCAGAAAAATCAGTTCATGTTTATAGATGAGGGAGCTCAAGCAAAGACGTTTATAATTTTTGGACGGCGCACGTCGACCGGAAGTGTGCCGTTTTTTATTTGATATGCCTTGACGCTACCAAATTTGTCTTGCTAAGTGTCTTTTCTCGTATGCAGATGATTTGGCCGAAGATATGGGCATGTTCGCTGCCCAAGAATGCCAAACGTCCCCTTCCTGTTGACGTGCGTTTCCCCAAAGACGTCCTTGCTTAAGCTCTGTTGCGAGGTCTAAAACCGAGAAATCTCGAATCAATCTTCTCCTTCCATGACGTCATTGAAATTCCGGCGCACACCTTAGCTGGAATCCAGCTGACCTGTGCTCATCTAAAATTTACAAATGGCTGACACCTTGAGTTTTTGTAGTCTAATCGGATCTAAGTTATACCTAGGAAGAAGCGAAAATTTAGCGAACCGCGTGAAACATGAGGATGAGAGTGGCTGTTTTGTTTGTTTTGTTGTTTTCTGTTTTGGGAAAGGGTGAAAAAGTCGCGAGGAGAGGAAAGGGATTTGTTTCTATGACAACCCTTAATCATTTTCAGGGGTGGATCGAGGTACTTTTGATCAAGGAGGCGTAATTTTGCCCGTTGACACGGTGAGGACGCTTTATAATGGTCCCGGATTAATTTTCGAAAAGTTTCGTTTCCGATCTTTCAAGCGTCGACTCCTGGCCAAAACACAATAAAATCACTTATTTTTCTGTCTTCGTTCAACGAATACTGGCGTTATCAAATAAGGCCCTTTTCAAACGTCGTGCTACTGCCGTGCGGAACTCAATTGATCGAATTAAATTCGACTTTAGCACGACAGTAGCTCGACTTGGTTTCAAAAGTCGTGCTGCCGCTGTGCCCCGTGCCCGAACTCAATTCATACATTATAAATACATCAGAATACATTTACTATTTAATCTAATAGTTAAATATTTCATCAAAATCGTTATTACAATAACTAAATCGTTCATATTACTCTCATTTCGAAACCGAAGGTAGGTGATATATGACTAAACATGTACAGGTAAACTAACATGCATATATAAAACTTTTGTGGAATCTGAAATGTGACTGGGAGTATTTTTTATGGTGCACAAACATATTCCTTTAAAATACATCATCGTTTGAGGAGAATTGGCTTTTATATGAGCCCTTTGCAGCTAAACTGTCTCACGGTACGAAAACATTTCATTTCTTTAGAAGGTTCCCGCGATTGTGTTCAAGCAAGGCGTTTTTGTACCCTTTTGCTGCAAAGGGCTCTTAGATTTAGAAACTTGGTTTAATCAATTTAATCTCTTTTTCTTAGGTTACACTTACTATAAGATTTACAACGTACGACTAATTAGTTTCATCCAAACCTAAAACCAACCCTATGAAATCTTGCACCCTTTCGCCTCATGTTGGGAAATCCAAGACAGCCTTGGACTCTGGATTCCACATCGTGGACTTCAAATCCTAGTCAGATTCTAGTCTTTGCCAGTGAAACTTGGATTCTCGATTCCAATCGTTATGGGATTCTGCATTCCTTGAGCTGTATTCCTCATTTCACTGTTAAAGTATCCCAGATATGGGATTCCGGAATCTGGAATCCCTTGCGTGGACAGGTGATGCCCTTGTCAAGCGATGGGTACAAGGAAAATTTGAAGCTATTGATGAAGTAGAATTAATAGTTATATTCACATTTAAATAATGTCTTTATCATTGTCGCTTTCCGCTCAGTTGTGTGTTTCTAGAATTCGACACTGCCGGACCTGTTTCTTGGAGTTCCGGGAATGCCGTTTGTTTGAGCCTTGCTCTTAAATCCTCCTTTCAAACGTCTCATAATAGCTGGAGACTTAGGAAACTTCTGTCCGCCAAGCGAAGCCCTAAGGTAAGCCTTCTTTATAATCTTGTTATGCTCGAAAAAACTCTCAGAGTTCGATAACTGATGAAACGAGCATCCCGTGTTCACCGCAAAAAGCTTTCCCTCGAACTCCGTGACTTCCGTGTGGCGTTTTAGGTCAGCTTTTGATGCGATTAGAAATATTGCTGACGACGGAATGTTTTTTGCTTCATGTAGGTACTTGACAATGAGTGTAGCTTCTTGAAAGGAAGAGCGGTCTGTGATGGAGTAAAGGACAAATATGATATCTTGAGCAGCGCAGATGTCTATCTTTTCCTTACAATTCTGATAAGATAAAGAAAATTCAATTAAGGTAAGCAGAATATATAGTGTATTAGTAGTGGAATCAGGATATAATCGCTGTATCTGCTTTTTTAGCACTTGGTTAGCACGTGTTTCAGTGTAATAGAGAGGAGAAGTCGGTGTCACGTTGCCATGGTTGCAAAATGAATGGATGACAACAAACCGAAAAAGTCACTTAAAAGTCTATTTGCACTATTTCAAACTTCACCGATCTTATCCAATTTCATTTAATTTGGCAAATCTTGGCGAAATTTTCTTTGAGTCAGACCATATTTTTTTTTTAGAGAATGAAAGGGACAATTTTTGTGTTGTGTTCACCTACTCCATAAAGCGGTCTCGTGAAATTAGGAAGTTTCATGTCGTAGTGGTGCAACGACGGCAAAGAAATGTACAAAAAAGCGTGATACACGTGCAAAGTTGTTGTTTGTTAATATAAACATATATTTTTTGCCGTTCTCCTTTCCGTAGCCGTCGTCGTTGGTTTTGTTGTCATCCAGAAATATTGCTACCATGGTAACGTGAACTCACACTTCTCCTCTCTATGTGACTGACACAATTCGCTTTTTAATGTATTTGTGGGAAGTGGGGTTAACTTAAGCTCCTTTACAGGTCGCTGTTCGGGAACCGAGTTTTATATCTGCAAGTCTGAAGTCAATCGTGACCATACAACTCGCTGCACAAAATCCTGCATGCCGTTAAAATTGACCTCAAAGTGCCACGCTAACACATTTGTGAAAGTTGACGCACAAATAAAGAAGAGTGACGATGGACTGTCTCCTATCTGAAAGGGTATTCTTACCCAAAGCTCTGTTGATTGATTACTTAAACACACTGGCAAACTTACTTTTCCAGCGGTATCAAAGATGTGCAATGTGACTTCTTGTCCATCAATGTCAACTCTATGCTGATACCAGCTCTCTGTTAATAAAATATTGATTAAACTAGTATTCAAGAATCTTCGATCGTCAGCTTTGCGCTGAAGGTTTAGCTTATTTTCTGCCTTAAGAAATTTAGTCTTCTTGCGGAGATAATCGCGATTAGAGCGTTTCAGCTATCATAGTTTATAAAATAACTAAGATAGTACGCGCGCTCTGATTGGCCGAGAGTAGTGTTTGCATGAGAGTATGTAAACGTGGTTGTGGCGTCAAGTTGCTTGGCTTTTCGCGCGCTAATCACGTAAGCACGAATTTGAAAAAGTTTTCGAGTTCAAAACTCGACAAGTTTTCTTTATTTACCAATTCCTTCGTCGGCTGAAACATGGAAAATCGTTACAAAGAAGGTGAGTCAATTTTTCTTCGCTTAAGCTGACATTTTAAGCGAGAAAAATCCGTATTTTGCAAAGCATCTTTTTGCAAAACAAGAACTGATTACGCGTACAGGACTTCGTGGACAAGATTTTGCGACTGGTAAGAATTTCTCTTTTAATCAGTGCCATACAAAGAGTTTTGCGTTTTTTTCTCAGGAAAGTTATTTTATAAAAGCACTATAGAAAACTTTTTCCCTGTGTTTACATAGCCTGATATAAACACTCGAGGCGTTGGGAGAATTCTCGACGGTTATACAAACCCTCGACTTCGTCTCGGGTTTGCATAACTGTCTCGAATTCTCCCAACCCCTCTCGTGTTCATATCAAGCTCTGCAAACACGGAAAACGTTTTCTATTGCTTAAATAGTAATTAACGAGAGTTCATTCAAGAGCATGAGATCCATCCATGGCTTAGTGACATAATTACATTAAGAGATATATACTTCTTATGATGAAAATATGCAGTAAGAGATATCGAAGACTGAATAATGTAGTTACTGTATTAATATTGGAGGTAACCTGAGGGTGCTTATAATACGGCTAGCAAAAATAGCCTAGCCACGCTCTTGATTAGGATCAAACAGATTCAGTAATAAATGACTGCATGAGTGAAAGAATAGAGACCCGGCTACAGATTGGACCACCAGCACAAAAGTGAAGTTGTTAAACCAAATTTGTGTGCTTTATATAATAACCAGTCACACCCAATCTTGACAATATTATCCCTGTACATGCTAGTCAACAACGGGAAAGAGATCAGTAAAGTTCAGAAGAGGCAATTAGGTGGCCGCATTCCAAAATCGTGCTTTGTCAAATCGTAACGTCGCTTAATTGACTAAGAATTAATGAATACAGTATTTATTTAAACGTGGCATGCCGATCAACGTGCGTTTGTAGCGTTCGATTGGAACTAGATCACTACAACGAATTTAATTGAATTATTATAAGTAAATTAAGTGATAAACGATCTTTTGTCCCCGTTTGAAAACCAGCGAAAAATGGACTATTATGAGTTGATTTACTTATCTTAATGATAAAGAGAATTAGCTGGGTAAGATATTGAAACAAAGCTTCGGTTTTTACGAATTGATCATTTTTGGTGTTTTCCTGCACTCAAGAAAATAAAAATGTAGACAAAAATAAAGAGGACAAACAAAACAGTACTGACATTTAGATTACCTGTTAATCAGGCCAAAACCTACGGCAATGTATTTTCATCTCTGACTTAGTGTCTCTTACGATCTGTGGTGGCCAGATCGATGTGTGGCCAGTTTGATTCACAAAAAAGATAATGCGTTATTGACCAAGCGTGGCTGGATATTGGCCATTTTTTTTATGGACTGAGACGAAGTCGAGGACAATAACAACGCACAAAAGAATGAGGTGAATATCCAGCCATATTGACCGATCAAGCTTGATCAATAAATTTCTTTCCAAAAAGAGAACTTTAATTTTCTTGCGGGACCAAAACGCGGGAAATCCCGAGCGGGCAAGATGGTCCCATCTTAGCCTCTCGGGTAGCCAATCAGAACACAGGATACGCCTTATCTTACCCGCCCGCGGATTCAGCCTTGTAATAAGCTTTGTTATTAACTTACCTAGTGTTCCATCGTAGTCTCCAATGAAACGTCTGGTCAATAGACGCACCGTAAATGCTGAAATAAGGCCAAATGAACGTGTTAAAATAAACTTTTACCCCCATTATTTAAAAAAGATGAAAGTAGGTGTACTAGCTCAACGCATTCATTGCTTTTTGATGTACACCGTACCAAAAGTAGACATAAATACCAGAAAAAGAGAATTCCTCCATTGAAAAATTTTCGAAATAGACATTTGGCTAGAATCGGATCAACCGTAGACCATCGATTCTTTTTTTGTGGTTTCTTTCCCAAATTAGTAATGTCAACGAGTAATTTTTGCTGCTTTACAAATAATATACACTAAAAGATGCTCGTGGCTCATCTTAGAAACTGATTGTTAAATAAAAGCTAATGCACATAACGGTTTAGGTTCCAAAATCAACAATTAAAAACTCTCTGAGGCTTTGCTTGTAAACATTGCGCACATATTCCAGTAGATTTCGGCACGACTTAAAAGTGTCAAAAAATGTGAAAGCGGATCCGGATCGAGTAATTTTAGTGTTCCTGGGTGCTTAGATTCTAGAAGAGCCGTGTTAGTTAGGGACGCGGTGATGTAATAAATAATTTTTAATTTAATGTTGGGGTGAATTGTTCTTTGGTTTTCGCGTCCGCCAAATTTATCTAGAAGGCAAACGACATTTGGACATGGGGCGGTCTGCCTTCCCTTTAGGCTTGACCCATGGAGAGTAGTTTTAAGACTGAGATTGCTGTAGCCTAAAAAAAAAATAAACCGTCGACATTTCGCGAGATCACCATTGGTTCCCCGCGAAATGAAGTCTGAGAAATGAGCGCAGGATTACAGCTGATGAGCTGAGGCGTCTCTACCTACGGATCTGGGTAGTCTTCTGATTGGTCGTGCCGCGTAGGAAGTTTGCTTCAACCAAACGTAAGTAATACCCAGATGTGGGGTAATAACGCGTCGTCAGCTGGAAATTCTGCGCTCATTTCTCATTTCACAGGGAAGTCAGTGGTGGCGTCGCGCCCCTCAGGCTAAGAATGCTGGCAACGACGCGATTGAACCACCAAGGGGTCAAGGGGTAATGAAAACTAGCCAAAAAAGACAACAAAAACAAAACTTATGATCATCTGCCAGGATTACTGCATCTTCATCTAATGTAAATATTTTTAAGTTAGAAAGGTCCAACAAATAGTAAATACATCAGAGAATCCATATTATTGTGTTAAGGAGCGGCTTAGTCACGCAACATATTCGTTTGTTAGCAATATGCGCTATTCTAACTTTTCACATCCGGCACTAATTAATCACAACAAAATTTAAGCCTCTGTACCTCTCCACCCCCCTAATTTTTCCTTTCTAGAACTAATTTTATACATCGTCGGTGATGATGGTCTTCACACGGTTTCGGATTTTGCGGAAGGATATAGCACAGCAATCTGATTATCGGTGATAAGATATTTAGGTATAAATACTGTCTGTTTAAAAAGGGCGAAAAAGCTATTTTTAATATCTGATTTGACTTGGTATGGAACGGAAAATATGCCTGTATTTTTATTTGTTTCCGGCTGCAAATTAATTTAGACAGAATTAATGTTTTGGTGCCAAACTACTCCTAGTTATAACTGAGTAATGCTGTACGAAGTAGCTTCCTGATTAGCTGACCCAAAGCCCGTTGCATATGTGGCTTTATAAGGGAACCGATATAAACGCGAATGTAAAAGGGAAGCGCGCAAAGTTTAACAGAGAGGAGTAAAACTCCTACAAGCGACATGGCCCTGAAAAGCGATATTAACCTTTTAAGCCCCGGTATCCAAATACAAATTCTCCAAACTGATCTCCATACATTTCCTTAAAGATATTAGCTGAGAGAATTTGATAACGGATCAAGGCATTTTCTCTTGGGTGATCATTTTATTAATTCTCGTAACTTATCTCTTGACAGTGTATGGATATTGTGTGGAGAAAATTGATCTTGGTCTCTATTGGGACTTAAAGGGTTAATAGGAAAGCAGAAGTGGCGAGAAATGACACTAAGATGGGTTGAAAATGCGACAGCGTCAGAGAAAAGTGTACATACAATAGTGAAATATCAACAGCGACAAGCAGCAGGGCTTTGTATCCACAGGCGAAGACTGAATGGAATTAATTCTATTGTGTAAATTCTTGTCAGAAACTTGTCCTGGAAATTTTACGAAACGATTTTGACTTTCTTGAAAGGGTAGTAAATGGTTTGTCTTCCGCTCCTTGGCTTAATTAGAGGTCATTTGAACAGTGATCTTAGTTTCCATACCAAAATACGTGTTGCTTTGTATGAATAGTGATCTTCGACTTGGCATTTTTTTTGTAGGTTGTTTACATTAAACTTTCTCACCTGTTTTTCCGACGCCATCTTTGCCCAAAACAGCAGCGCGAATAATTTTCCCGCTTTCTTCTTCAATGCTGTTACTGGACGCAGAACTCACGGAAATGTTGCGCTGTTTTCTTTGAGACAAGTTCCCGACGTTGTCCTGGGGAAATGACTTTCAAAAACAACAAATCATGCATCTTGTTGTATCACAAATCTTGTTCCTTCAAGGGCTGTCGGGTTTTGTCAAGTTCCGCCCCGTGCTTCCTTCTTTAGCAGCTCATCTCATCCTGACAATTTTCTTATTAATCAACATTGGTAGACATAAAGGGATGATATTTTTCTACACTTTCCATCTGCTTGGACTTAAGAGTTGTGTTTAGATGCGCACCAAATCTAAACTTGAAACGTGACTGTAATCAACGCAAAGACAGCTACGCATCAAATTGTTTGCCAGGTATTTGATATATACACATCGGAAATTTGAAAATTAAGTAGCACTGTCGTACATTAATGGATCTTATTTTATTTGTGCCAAGAATTTAACTTCGTCACCCAAGACACGTCCCTAGCTTAAATCGCAAAAGTCGCCTCTGTTAAAACATGCTAGTTACCCAGGCCTGCTAGTTACCTGACCTG